CCCTGGATGCCCCGTTAGACGGCCCATACCGTATTCAGGCGCTGGTTACACGCTCTTTGTTTAGATTAGATACCTTTTGTAATAACTAAACCGTGCCATATTGTCCTAGTAATAATATGTAATATAAATATTAATTTGAGTAATTCAGATTTAATTTGTAGATCAAGATCAAGTATAATGATACACAAATACTCTGAACATTCAGTCATTTAAGTTCCATCTCTATTCTCTGGCAGTTGCAATATTTTCACAGGTACAGCTGAGAAAGAAAATTGAGAAAGTTTGCACAGGAATCTGACCACTCGAATATATCAATCACAATCCTCAACAGGTAAAATATTCACGTGTTCATGGCTCAATTTTCGTACAATACCTTGATGAGCATTCTGGAAACTATTTCCAAAGATCTAGTTTCCTGATGGCTTCTCTAGAATAGCTTGTTGTTATTCTTTCAAAACGAACTGATCTTGATAACTCAAATTCTCATCAGGCACATTCCAAAATTGCGGATATACCTCTAGGAAATCGTGCAATAATTATTTGTTTTATGAGATTCTGAGCAGACTCTCTGGGTGAGATTTTGTTAATCCATCTTTAATATGGTCTACGGTCTGCCACTGCAACTTAAAAAATCTATAATGAAGAAATTTGCTTTATAGCTTTCTCTCCAAGACAATCTTCCTCTACAACTAGCTGGTCTCATCTTCGATAAAAAGTTGCCTGAGTGGTTCAGCAATTTCAAAAAAAATCTCCCTGTTAAGTTATTTGAAATTGGAATAGTACCTATATTATATTATAAGGATTAAAAGTGAATCATTTTTTTATGAGCGATATTGTCAACTTTTTTTGGGGGCTGGAGAAAACTTCTGAATTGATAGCCCGCCTTGAAAGAATCATCTTTCAAATCCACAATCTGATAAAAATTATGAGTTCAATGGTAAAAAACATAATTTAGAGAAACATCGTTTTACAAGTCCTGCTTGAGTTTTAACAGACGCCACTCGCGCTATATCATATCGTCTTTACCACGAAGCACTTGAACAACTTTGCCTAGTTTCCAATTCAAAAATGGCACGTTATCGTCTTTTATTAACACTAACGCACCTTCCGTTAAACTGTCATAGTTATTCTTGTTCCATTTTTGTCTATGCTGTAGTTCTGACACGTATATTCTTTACTCCAGCGCGTCCAAATATGCTGTTTCCTCATTTGTTGCAAATGTTGATAAATCGATAACCGATTTGCAGGTTGATGGCTGCTTACATAACTAGGAAAAGGACTCAGCTGGTGGTTAATCAAGAAGTGCGAAGGTGAAGGAAGCAACATCTTCAGGATTAGAAGAAAGTGGTGAAATGGGGCGAGAGTTCATTATTGCTTCAACTTCAATAAGCAGTGTATAAGAATCACACGCTTCAAATGGTGTTTCATACTTTGTACTCCGGCCCAGACACCCCCGAAGATTGAGGCGGTATGAAATGCCAGTCTGATCTTATTTGCATAATAAGTTCGTTAATTCAATATTATTTTCTCGAAATATCGTCCAAGCTCTTTCAATTCCGAACTGGCTGCAACAAAATTAGTCCCCAATAGTAAAAACGCCTCCTTACTGAGGTCAATTACTGATTCTAAGTGGAATGCCTTGGTCAAAAAACCAACATAAAGTGAAACATAGGACTTCGAGACTTTGGCACCTCTGCCACTTTTATTCTTTAGCAAAAAAGGACCTGCATAATCTACCCCTACAATATCAAATGGATGATTTGGTATAAGGCGCTCTTCAGGTATGTTTCCCATAATAGGCTTCAACATTCTTGGGCTATAGGTACCTAAAGCATCTGAGACATTTTCGTACAATTTGTTTGCACAAAGATCGACCTGACACCGGCCAATACCTTTCACGTACAGAAGCCAAAAAATACTGAGGGCCGCAGTGATACAACCTAATATGCTCATATTCTAAAATTAATCGAGTAAGGTGATGTTTTGGAGGCAAAAGTAATGGATGTTTTAGCATTTGATAATCGTCCTCCAACTCTTAACAGCTCAAAATCATCAAGAAACGGGTTTATATTTAGATTTCACTATGCGACAATTTAAATTCATGGTTTTTATCTGAGCAATGTCCAAAGAAAAAGATTCATACTGAACATATTGTATTTTCTACTGAACTCTTAAAGATCCATAATACATAGGAAACGAAATACGTTAATATATCTATAACAATCTGAGGGCATTATAAGCCCGGCGGGCGTTATGATCTATTTACCCCCTCTACACAACAATTGAAGCCAATGTGTTTCAACAAAATACAAAAATTGTGGTCCAAACCACCACATATGTAGATTGTTTATCGTAGAACATTTAGCTCCACCAGACAAAATATCTGCTGGATTGTGATCATTTGGCAACTGCCTCCATATACTATAACTATAGTAGAGTCGAAATAATTTGGCATAATATGCAAACCAATCGCAATTAAGAAAACCGCTCTAAAAATGTGAAAAGACGTACGTTTTTGTTGTCACATGCTATAATGGCTATTTGCACGCCGCCTTTAACTTGCTTTAACGTAACGGATATTTAATCTAAGTGGAGCTTCGAATGTTGAATATAATAGAGTAGAAAGTACTTTTCCCTATCGCTTAGTACCGACATCCTGAATATTATAGGATTGGACGCTTGCAATGGTGGTGTGTACCCAGGTACCAATGGGACGCTACCTGGGATGCCTGTTCGAGTTAGACAAGAGTTAAGAAACAGTAGTTGTCTCTTTTTACTCAACTTTCTTTATAGCATAGATATGACAAGAAAAACGTACGTTTTTCACATTTCTATGGCGGTTTTCCTAATTGTGATTGGTTTGCATATTATGCCAAATTATTTCGACTCTACATACTTAGTTAAAGTCTGAATTTCCGAAACCCTGTTAGCAACAAAAGTTTTCAATTTATTTGGTCGTGCTCTCACCCAACCAAAAACTATTGTGGAATCAGTCCAGAAATAGTTATTTACATTCCAAGCTGCGAAAGCCTACTTTTAGCCGAGGCGAAGCAAAGCGCAGCCGAGGCTATTCGAATACCACTGAGCACCTAATAGGGCTTTTGCAGCGTGTAATGTATTAAACTTTTCATTCTTCCCCTTCAAAAATTGTAAATAGGCATGCGAAAGTGAGACATGCTAGTAGCGAAAGTGAAAGTAACTACTAGCATCTTTCGCTCGCCTATGCAAGATAGAAAAATCTACTTTCGTAGGGGGGAGAATGAAAACTGTTTTATTGATCTCGAGCCTAAGGGACTTTATATCAAACAATCTAGCAGCCACAAGAGCACCACAAAATTCCAGACGAGGCAAACTGATTGATTGCAAAGGTGCTACCTTAGCTTTAGACGTTAAAAAATGTATGAAAACCTCAACATTTTTATCAATAGATTTGAGGTAGATACATGAACCATAAGCTTTTTCTGAACTGTCTGAAAAACAATGCATTTCAACCTCCTTATGATCCTTACAAAGTACATGACGCTCAATAATTTAATGAACTTATTTCAGACCTAAAGTCTATCCAAGCTTGAGCCATTTGATTCGGAACCTGATGATCATCCCAAGATAATTTCTCTAGGCAAAGGCTTTGAAGCAAAATTTTAATGACAATTATGCAAGAACTGATTAATCCTAAGGGATCAAAGATTTTAGAACTTTCTGACAGAAATTAATCTTTCTGTGTGACTATTTCACTAGTGTTTTATGCTGTGGTTTTACACTGGCAAAATGTCATAGAAATGCCCTAATGGATGCCCTGTTTCCTACTGACAAAACTCCTACCTGGACAAAACCAACATGATGGTTTTATCAGCGACAAAATTTAATTAGGTTGGAGCAGGCCCTGCGATTTCTAATTGCTAGTAATAAGCCACATACCCAATTACTGTTTTCCTCTCCTCTAGAAGTCGCTGACATAGATTGGATAATTTATTTCTCTCTTTGTTGATTAAATAAATGACAGGTTCGATTAAACATCAATCAGCATAATAAACTCTACTTTTTATTCTAAATCCAACGACATATCAAGCTCATAATTCCAGGAATAAACCAATCCAATACAGCTAACTTTTCTATTACTGTGGCTCCTTTTTTAACATTTCATATTTGGCAACGAAAGATCATGTTGGAAGCTTCATGAGTTTGCAGAAGATGTCCAAAAACGACATTGAATACGCCCTTTAGACGTCTGCTTACGTCGAAGCTCCAAAGTGTTCTAAATTGGTTCAAAAGGGTTCTAGAAGGTTTCCAGTTCTGCTCCTGAAACTTTTGATTTGGATTGTAATTGTTTTGGATGCTTATTAAAGGTTTAAAGTTTTACAGAAATTTAAATTCGCTCTTGAACGCCTTCTGAAAGGCGTTTTGTAACTTCTAACCTGAATCCTAAGATTGTGACGCTTTTAAAAATGTTTCTGAAGATTCTAGAGTGTTTTAGTGTTTTGAAGTGTCCTGAAATGGGTTTTAAACTTCTGAATTGTTCTAAAATGCTTTTGGAAATCGGTATACCTACTTATCGGTTTTTGAATGTTTCGCAGCACTCTAAAAGGGTTCCGAAGATTCCAAATTGTTCTGAAGCGTTACTATTAAAACTCTATGGTGTTCTGTAGCATTTTCAATGGTTTCCAGTAAAATCTAAATTGAATGAGAAACAAATTCTGTGGGAAGTTTTTGTAGACATGTTAAAAACGTCCACAAACGACATTCAAGACGTTTTTTAGAAGTCTGCTTACGGGTTCAATGCATTTTAAAGACATCTTGAAGTATGTTACAAAACCCAAGGTCTTTTAAACGTCTGCCTAAAAACGTCTTTATGACATTTTTTCCAAGACATTTTAAAGACGTCTTTTCTTAATAGGTCCGGCTGTATACCAAATAGTGTGACTCAGTTGCCTTTGAGATTTGAATTTATGACATCTTCTAGACGTCTTTTTTTGGTCTTCCGACATAATGTATAAGACGTCGTGAAGTGTTGTCTAGATGTTGAAGATTGATTGATATCTGAGCGTGCTGAGAGCAGATTTTTGATTCATTAAAGCTGCTAATTTTTAATAGGATTCTATGGTTTATTTTTTTCCAAAATAGATTTTGGCATTGTCAACTTTCAAACATAAACAATGTAGCTAAGGCCGCTTATTGGTCGCTATTGTAAAACTGATATCAACCTGCAGAAACACCTCATTTTGCGACCAATCAGGGTCAAGCGTTACTGTTTATGTTTCAAAGTTTTCAATGTCAAAATCTATCTTGGGAAAAAATAAAGTGTAGATTCAAGATCTAAGCTTTGAAGATTTTGAAGTTGCGGCAGTCGCGCAAAAACCTAATGACATCAAAGGTTCTATAGGCTGTACTGATGTAAAAACCAAAGATTCGGAAGATTTTGAAGCCTTGAAAAGAGATTTGAGCCTTTCATCAAATCTCCTCACTCTGAGACGTTTCCGCAGAATTAAGACACACAAAATATAGAGCGGAGATATTTCTAAGATTCTAATAAGGTTTGTGATTAAAACTGAGTCCAAAGATCTCAGACTCAGACTCAATAAATGTTTCACAAGATTTATGACCTGAAACTTAAAACTCTACTAAAGACATTGAGCGATTCTGAGAATGCTGGCAACTATCTTTTTAAGATTCTAGAGAAAAGACTCGGATAATCAGGAATCTCTGAGCACTGTACCGGTGGTGTTCAATCTATCAAATTTGACATAAATATTTTAGCAAAAATGTCACAGATACTCAGTTCGGAAGAACTCAAAAATCAGACAGCTCGCTTCGGCGACGTCCTCAAACCCCTCAAAGCTGTAATCCATGGACCTCCGACATCTGGAAAATCCGAAATCGCTAAACGAATATGTCGACACTACGGAGCCCTCAATGTTTCCGTAAAAAGTATGATTGATGAAACTTTAGAAGAATTGGTAAGAGGCAACCGCCTTTGAGAATAGAATTTGAATTCATATCAATTTTTTAGAGACAAAAAATCACTGATGCAAAAGAACAACTCGCCACGAGAGCCGCTACACGAAAAACAATCAAAGACCAAGGCCCAGACGAAGAGGTCGAAGAGGAAGAAGACGAAGTCGACGAAGGAATGGACGTTACCGAAATCGAAACTGAAATCGAGCAATACGAAGAACAAATTCGCGATATCAACTCGTTAATTTCACAAAGCCCCAGTGGCAAACTACCAGACGATTACGTAGTGCGTATGATGCGCGTTTTTTTGAGTAAAGACCGTTGTCAGAGTCACGGATTCGTTTTGGATGGATTTCCAAAAACAATTCAACAGGTAAAAACTAAAAAATGTGTGTCATATAAGTTCATTGAGGGTTTTTTAATATGTGTATCATATTACATCGAGTTATTTTCATCAGGCTAAAGAACTTTTTGGTCAAGCTGCTGAAGTTCCTAAAGAATTAAAAGGTACAGTTAAAGGTAGGAAAGATGCTGGTGAAGCTGATGAAGGTGAGGGCATGATACAAGTAGGCGATATGATCGGTAATGCGAATGCCAGCATAATACCAGATTTTGTGGTCAGCTTGCAGGCAGATGATGATTTTTTATTGCAAAGGATTATGATGTTACCTGAAAGAAGTATCCAGGTAATATATGCTCAAAACATTTAAGTTTTATATTGAAAATTGTTATTTTAGGGAACCAATCATGACGAGTCAAACATGATTCGGAGATTATTGGAATTCAGAAACAGTAACACTGCGGATAATACTGTTTTAAATTTTTTCGATGAAGCGGAAATTCATCCAATTGTTATAGACATAACGGAAGAAGGTTCTACCGAGTTGGAATGTATTTTGAATTATTTGTATAATATTTTTGGTCCGCCGATACCGGGTTTTGGATTGAGTGCTGAGGAGGAAGAAGAGTTGCAGAAATTGGAATCTGAGCAAAAGAAACTGCAACAGAAAACTTACTTAATTGAAAAACAAGTATGTATTTGTGTTGATAAATGAGTTTATTTAGCAAACAATATACTGAATTTCACTGAAAGAAATTTGCATGTTCCTATATTAAGTGAATAGATAAACACAAAGGGTATTTCTTTCAGTGTTGTTTCTGACTGTTTATTTATTTAGCTTGCAGAAGAAGCAGCTAGAAAAGAGTACGAAGATAAAATGGAAAAATGGGCAGAAACAATGGAAAAACTGCAAACTGAAGAGGAAAAACTACTTGTAGCTACAACCGAACCAGCGAGATATTATTTAATGAAGTATGTGTTTCCTACTTTAATGAAAGGTATGGAATTATAATATCCTAATGAAATGTTAAATAAACTTATACAATTTTACATAGGTTTGTCTGAAGTGGCTAGATTAAAACCAGAAGATGCTGTCGATTATTTGGCGGAATTCTTATTTAAGGAGAATCCTGAAGGGAAAATGTTTGATCCGTCTTATACTAGGTCTGGTGAAGATATTATTAAACAGCATGAAGCTGTAGTGCATATTGTTAATGAATCTTCTAAATAAATAATAATTTGTATTTTAATAATCTTTTGAGAATTTCGTATAGCCAAAATGATTAAAAAAACCTCTCAACAACCTTCTATCAAATATGGAAACATAAGAACGTCATGAAGTATGAAACATAAATGATGATTTAAATATCTTGAAAAAGTTGTAAAACAAAAAGAGAGTTCATTTGAGTGAAATTGATTCAGTGAAAAACATCAACACGAAAAATTCTTGAGAATCAACTTCCAGAAAGTAGATTTTACAAAAAACACTCTTGTATACAGGGTGTATATTTTAAGTGATACCACTATTACTATATCTGAAACGGAGCTACAAGGTCGGTTAAATTAGAGAAAAGTTGCCTTTTTTGATGCCCATTCGAAACTTGTTTACATTGTTGTCAAATTCCTTTTAGTTTTTGAAATACAGGATGATTTTTTTAAAACGCCAAAAACTATTTCATCAACTATTTCGAAAACTATTGATATTCGAGACACAATTTAAATTTGAAAGTTTTATAATTTTTTTCGCTCTACAACATGGCATCTTCAAATTTTAAATCCGACGTTTCGTGATCGAGCTCTATCATCAACTTCATTTTTTTTAATACGGACCTGGTCTTTTTATGTCATTTTTACAAAGCGAATAAAAGGCACTTTCTAAAAATGACATAAAAAATCCAGGTCCATATTTAAAAAAATAAAGTTGATGATGGTAGCTCGATTACGAAACATCGGATTTAAAATTTGATGACACCATGTTATAAAGCGAGAAAAATTAAAAAACTTTCAAATTTAAATTGTGTCTCGAAAATCAATAGTTTTCAAAATAATTGATGAAATAGTTTTGGGCGTTTCTTAGAAATCACCCTATATTTCATAAACTAAAAAGAATTTGGCAACACTGTAAACGAGTCTTAAATGGGCATCAAAAAAGGCAACTTTTTTCTAATTTAATCGACCTTCTAGTTCTTACCGTTTCGGATATAGCAATAGTGGTATCACGGTATCACTTAAAATATACACCCTGTATATATTTAATATATATATTTTTTTTTCTGGAAAACTGTTGCAGGTACACTTTTGAAATTTTCTGGATGAAAAGAAGAAGAATGAGAATTCATTCAACTGAAATTTCAAATTGATTCAGTGTAAAACATTAACAAAAAAAACTCTTGAAAATCAACTTCTAGAAACTAGATTTTATAAAAAACACTCTTGTATATTTCATTTTTTCTCTGGAAAACTGTTCCAGGAATAATTTTCAAATTTTCTGGATGAAAAGAGAAACAATGGGAGCTCATTTGAGTGAAATTTCAAATTGGTTTAGTGAAAAACATCAACACAAAAAATTCTTGAAAATCAACTTCCAGAAACTAGATTTTACAAAAAACTCTCTCGCATATTTAATTTGGTTTCTGGAAAACTGTTGCAGGAATAATTTTGGAATTTTCTGGATGAAAAGAGGAAAAATGGGAGCTCATTTAAGTGAAATTTCAAATTGATACACGTCAAACCGATTGAAAAGTAAATAATACAAGTTGTGTGTGAAGTGAGACAGTACCCATTCACTGTCCCACTTCAGTCACTTCCTCACTAACTAAAACAAAAAGAAAATAGAAACATAGGGTTGGTCGGCGACTAAAATCTAGAAACGGGACTTCGTGTGAAGGGTTGCCGACTAAAGTTTTTTTTTTTTTTTTTAAGATAGAAGTCAAAATGACATTATGTTGGCAATACAATGTAACATTGTCAATGCTTTCAAATTTTTTATGTAGAAAAGGCTTGTATTGCCAACATTCAAATTCAAATTCAAAAAATGTTATATTACAACAGTAAGTACAATTTTTCTCTACAGTATCGCACCTAAGCTCTACATAGAGCTTGTCGGCGCATTTTTATGATTAATGTTATACAGTTATTTTTGTTGTCGAGTCTATCCTGTTATAATTGTATTGATTTAAATATTACCATCCAGGTTTTTTATTTTTTTACTTAATAATGAATAAATAACACTTAAAATAACAGTTCTTGATAATTGGTTTATGCTATTACAGATTTAAATTTTTCGATATTGACCTGAATATGACTTTTAGATGCTTTTTTAAAATGCTCAAAGGTTTTATGATCTTTCACACTAGAAGGAAGCAGGTTGTAGAGTTTTATTCCCACTAAGTCGACAAACCTTGAATACGGAGTGTTACCTGGTTTCTTTGTTTGACAGTTCATGCTGGTTACCGCTCTGGTGTTGTGACCGTGGCTAATACGTTGCCTTAAGTCTTGATTCTTATAAACAAAATTTACTGACGCCATAATGTAAATAGTATCAAAATCCATAAGTGGGGTATTCCGAAATACTAATTCCGTTGAGTAAGATTTTGGCTTATTCAATATAACTTTGATAATATGTTTCTGAATTATTTTCAATGGGTGAAGGTGCTTTTCATACACACCACCCCAGATAGGCAAGGCATAATTTAATATTGATTCCACCAGTGACACATAAACACACTCCAACGCCCTTGCATCCATAAACATTCTCAACTGATAAAATTTATACAAAGTACCTCTAAGTCTTTTGACCAGCAAATCTATGTGACAGTCCCATTTCAAGAAAGAGTCCATCTGTATGCCCAAATATCTTATATCATTAACTTTGGAAATAAGTGCACTACATGTACCAGTACAATTTATAACTTCTCTGCAGGTGTGAACTGTTAGCGTTTCAAATTGTGGTTGTCCAGCCCTATTTAAAGAATATGCCATAAATTTAGTCTTACTCATATTCAAGGACAAAAAATTGGAGTTTAACCAGCTCAAAATAACATTCAACCCCTTCTCGCCCTTAACTTTTGCCTCCTCCCAAGTATCATCTTCAACAACTAAAACTGTATCATCGGCATAGGATATTACCGAACCTGGAAATCTTAACTCCAGCATATCATTTAGATACAATTTGAACAAGACCGGACTAATAACTGTACCCTGAGGAATTCCCATTGTAACAGTCCTCTCAGTCCCCTTATTTGAATTGATAGAAACGCTTTGTGAACGACCCGTTAAATAATCCCTGAATAAATCTGCACACACTCCCCTAAATCCATAAAAGTGCAGTTTGTTAATTAATATTTGATGTGAGACTGTATCGAAAGCCTTGGCTAAATCCAAATAGATCGCCAGAGGCTTCCGACACTTGGCAAGTGCTCCATGGATACTGGATACCAGTATAGTTACTAAATTTTTGACTTGGGGAATTATCTTCAAATAAAAAACAGACATTAGCTTCCAATGCGGAGAGGGGTGTGGATCAATTAAATAATTAAATATAGAGCGACACCTGCTTTTCCCTGCAGTACACGAAGTCAACCGACACGAAAAATTCTTGAAAACCAACTTCCAGTAACAAGATTTTACAAAAAAAACTCTCGCATATTTGATTTTTTTTCTGGAAAACTGTTATAGGAATAATTTTGAAATTTTCTGGATGAAAAGAAGAAGAATGGGAGCTCATTCAAGTGAAATTTCAAATTAATTTAGTAAAAAACATCAACAAGAAAAATTCTTGAGAATCAACTTCCAGAATAGTACATTGTGTATTTAGGTGGAAAAGTGACACATTCTCGGCCGACGGGGTAAGTTGACGGGCGTGGCATAGCCGAGGCCGGCAAACACCGAAGGCCGAGAATGTGTTACTTTTCCACCTAAATACACATACTATTTTTTCTGCGATCGGTTTAATATCTGTTAAAGGTTTGTCTTTTTCTTCCAATTTTTCAGCAGTACAATAATCAGTTTCCGGGCCTAGGCCGGAAAAATGATTCCCGTATTGTTATTCATTGATTCCTTAGCAACTATTGAAACATAATTAAGATACCAGAATATTGAATTTTGCGACCTGTCAACCGGTCAAAAATGCTGACGTTTCTTGACAATCGCAGAAAAAGTAGATTGTACAAAAAACACTCTTGCATATTTCATTAATTTTTTTCTGGAAAACTGTTGCAGGAATAATTTTGAAATTTTCTGGATGAAAAGAAGAAAAATAAAAGCTCATTCAAGTGAAATTTCAAATTGATTCAGTGTAAAACATCAACCAGAAAAATTCTTGAAAATCAACTTCCAGAAACTAGATTTTACAAAAAACACTCTCGCATATTTGATTTTTTTTTCATGGAAAACTGTTGCAGCAGTTATTTTGAAATTTTTTGGATGGAAAGAGGAAGAATGGAAGCTCATTCAAGTGAAATTTCAAATTGATTCAGTGTGAAACATCAACACAAAAAATTCTTGAAAATCAACTTCCAGAAACTAGATTTTACAAAAAACACTTTTGCATATTTGATTTTTTTTTCTGGAAAACCGTTGCAAGAATAATTTTGAAATTTTCTGGATGAAAAGAGGAAGAATTGGACTAAAAGGACAACAAATTATTATCAGATACTGTGCGGGATTCAAAGATTGTAGTGATGGGACGTACCTTTTCCAAGTTTAATGGAACATTATTTATAAACAAATACATAGTTTGTTTCTCTTAAAACCTAAAGAAGCAAATCAAATCGAGTAATATTTCTTAAAAGTTTAGTATATTAAATACAAATATTTCCTGAACAACTGTGAATATGTTAAAAATCAACATTACACAAAAATTAATAATGCAAATAAAAAGAAATTTAAAAAAAGTGTAACTACATGGAACAGGCACATTATGGCAAAAATAATAAATTGATAAAACAACCGGACTATGTAAAACAGAAATTATGTTTTTGTCAATTTTGGCACTTGCTTCTCAAACTTACAAAATAAAAAAATTTAGTACCATGGTTCCCGACTCGGTTGAGATATGGAACCTAATTTAATATATCTTGCTGTTTGAGAAGCAATCGATCCTACTGGAGATCCTTGGGGTATGTGTTGTGTGGCACCATGTGCGGCTTCTACAGCTGTTGGAACTTGATTACCTTCCCCTTTTAAGACACCTTCTGGTTTCCAAGAGGTTTTACTGAGAACTGAAAAATATTGTTATAAAGCTGCAGGTTTGGTAAAAAAACAACATACTTCTAAACATTCTAGCGCATCCATCATCACCAGTTGAACACAAAACAGCTCCATTAACATTCCAGCAGACTCTCCAAACAGTAGAATTATGGTCATCAAACTGAGCCGCTGTTTCAATTTCAAGTTTTGTTAAACCACTTAGTTGAGAATCTCTATAAATAAATGTATTATAATAATTGAAAAAATTAACATATTTAGGCACTTACTCTACTGGAGTCAAATTAATGATTCTAACATTATTAGTAGCAACTCCCAGAATATGAAAAACTCTGCCCAAATTAGGTGAAAAAGCAACATCATGTACAGGTTCTGTAATATTAAGTGTTTCCAATTTATTCCACTTTCTGCTATTCTCACTGTATTCGTAAATAAAAACTTTGCCTCCAGGAGTAGTATGCGGTTCGTCACTACCCACCGCAATCATAGAAGGATGGGATCTGTTAGGACTAGGATTCCAGGACAAGCAACTTAAAGGTAATTTACATTGGACTTCGTGCTGAAGGGTCCATTGGCTCAAGTTCATTACGTCCGGAGCCTCGTATATCCTAATGATTCCTTCTGCAGAACAAGTGGCCAGCTGCAGCCCCTGGGCCTTGGGTCCAAATTTCACATCTGTTACCGAAGTTCTAGAGTCTACGAGGTTTGTTCTGCGCACCCAATGTCTCTGACCTCTTTTGCCCGGTCCTGGAGTATCTCCAACTGAAAACAGATTTTTATTCAAACTTATCTATTGAAGGATTATTGGATTAGATTGTTCATAGATAGATAGATAGATAGATAGATTTATTTACGGACAAGCCATTTTACAGTTTACAATGTACAAATATATAGAAAGTATAAACAAATAAACAATAAATAAACTATACTAGTTACTTAAATTATAAAAGTTTGGTAGGTATGGTACTAGGTGGTATAAATATATTGCAATTTGACATAGATACCTACATTAATTAGACTAGAATGAATATTAAATATTCGGGATTATAACAAATTATAAAAAAACAAACAGGTATTCAATTTCACACGTTTACCAAATCATCAATAACATAATACCCAGCAAACAATCCGGCTTTAGAGCGGGCTATAGCTGCTCAACAGCTTTGTCTGATTTAACTGATGATATAGTGCGGGCGCAGGACAACAGCAATGCTAGTGTGCTCATTTTATTAGACTATACAAAAGCATTTGATATGCTTCACCATGAAATTCTTCTGTCGATTTTAAAATACGTAGGCTTCAGTAAGTCGGCGTCTCTACTTGTGTCCTCATTCCTTTCAAAGAGATCTCAAAGAGTTACTCTTGACGGACAATATTCGGAATCTCTTAATGTCTTTGCGGGAGTGCCTCAGGGTAGTATTTTGGGTCCTCTTCTGTATAGTATATTCACCTCTAACTTTATAAAATCATTAAAATTTTGTCAATACCACTTATACGCAGACGATACGCAAATCTATTTATCTTTCAAACCTTCAGAAGTAGCTGCAGCCAATAAGCTGATCAATGAAGATCTGAAATCGTTGCTTGATGAATCAAATAAACATTTGCTTAAAATAAATCCTAACAAATCGGTAGCTCTCCTGTTTTGTAATGAAAATATTAGAAATGATCTTTTAGGCAATATTGAACTAAATCTAGGACAAGACACGATATCATTTAAAAATTCGGCTAAAAACTTGGGACTTGTCATGGATAGCAAACTCAAATTTAAAGAACACATAACACTTTGCTTAAAAAGAGCATATTCAGTTTTGAGGGGTTTATACTCTCATAGACACTATCTTTGTCAAAGAACTAAAACTTTGATTTGCGACTCTTTAATTCTCTCGCATTTTAATTTTTGCGATCACCTATATGGGCCTTTTTTGGATTCGATAGATGTTAGGAGAGTCCAAAAGGTTCAGAACTCTTGCATTAGGTTTGCGTGTGGAATAAGACGAAGAGACCGAGTTTCACACAAACTGAATGAATTGGGCTGGTTAAGTATGTTTAACAGGCGTAGTCTGCACTCACTATGCTTCTTTTATAAATTAATAAAATTTAAAACTCCACCATACCTACACAATAAAATCAAATATCGAACTGACATTCATAATTTAAACATTCGCAGGAAACAGCTTTTGACAATACCGTCTCACAATAAAGAATTCTTCAAAAAGTCATTCAGCTATACCATTGCCTCACTCATTAACAAATATGAAATAATTGATTTTTCTACATCTGTTGGTGTTTTTAAAAAAAGAATGAAATTAAAACTAATTTAAAATATAATATATAATATATTATATTTCCTGCTCTAGATAAATCGCCCTTAATTTCCTGCACATAAATAATTGGGTACATCATGAAATTCCTATCTGCTTTAATATTATTCTCCGCTCTAGTATATATATTATTCTCTACCATGTGCCCTCTTTTTCTTTTTCTTTTCTTTCCTTCTTTTCTCTATTTTTCCACCTCCTTCTTCTCTTTCTTCGTCTTACAGTTTAAGTATCAAGTGCGTTACTTGATTTTCATATTCATAGATCTTAGATAAGCCTTTCTTAATATTTTATTTTAAGCAATTTTTTGGGGCCTCAACAGCACTCATGCTTGCGCGGGATGCTGCAAATATGGCCTATTATTCCCCACATTTATCTTAGTTAACTGTTTGGAATGTAATTTTTCTGGAGATAATAAATATTATTATTATTATTATTATTATTATCTTAACGACCTAGAAATGCTTTTCCTAAACGATGTTAAGTTTGTATTAAATATGTCCATATTTGAAGAATTTATGCATTCATTAAGGGCTCTACAACTTCTAGTTAATGCGGAATTGTAACCATAATTTGTTCTATGAAACTCAAGATGGAACAAATTGTTTTGGCGGTTTCCAGAAGGTATTTGCAAACCAATTCTAGATAATAAATCAGAATCAGGACAATCAATAACATTATTAACTATTTTAAAAACCACACAAAGATCAAAGATTTGTCGACGTTGTTCCAATGAAGTTAAGTTAAGAAGCGACATTAAATCAACAAAAACTAATATCTTCCCTTGGTATGCCCAATTTAAATGCAATATATCTGAGGAATTTCCTTTGAATTCTTTCAAGACGAATCTTATAAATTTCATAATGTGGTGACCAAACTGGACACGAATATTCCAGTAATGATCTGACAATAGCGAAATAGACAGATTTTAACGTAAAAATATTGTCAAAGTCTCTCAACGACCTGAGCATAAAACCTAACATCTTCGCAACAGTGTCAATATGTTCATTAAATGTTAATTCTGAATCAAAGAAAATTCCAAGGTCTCTGATAATCTCAACTCTCATAATTTCATCGTTATTAAGAAAATAAGTATGAATATAAGGTGACTTCTTCCTTGAAAAGGTTATAATTTTACATTTTCCAATATTCAAATAAAGTTTATTATTTGTGCACCAGTTACAAAATCTATCAAGGTCACTTTGCAGATTTTGGGCATCCTCTGGGCTTTTTATGACCATAAAACACTTCAAATCATCAGCAAGACACAGAAAAGAACAATACTGAAAAACCTCTTTCAGGTCATTCAAAAAAATGCTAAAAAACAAAGGCGACAAGTGGCCACCCTGGGGCACACCAGAGGCAACTGGAAAAGCTGAGGAAATGTAATTTTCCACCCTGACCGCCTGCTTTCTGCCTGTCAGCAGACTTCTCAACAGTTCGAGGAAGCATCCATGCACACCATGAGCACCCAGTGTGTTTATCATGATTTTATGATCAACTCTGTCGATCGAAGGCCTTGGAGAAGTCAGTATATACAAAATCAACCTGGTACCTATTCTCCAAGCCCTCCAACAGAGCCTCTTCATATACCAGTAGGTTTGTCAATGTTGACCTACCCCTTACAAAGCCATGCTGTTCTGGCATAATTATATGTTTGAAGTAAGGTGTTAAATAGTCAGTTAATATTGATTCGAATATTTTTGAGAAGACTGATACTTTTGAAATAGCTCTGTAGTTATTAATGTCACTTCTATCACGGTTTTTAAAGATAGGTGAAATATAACTCAACTTCCACTTACTTGGAAATTGCCCCAACAATACTGCTTTATTAAAGATTTTACACAAAATCTCCAAGAATACAAAACTACAATTTTTAACTAACAAAACTGGAATGTCATCCGGCCCACTACCTAATCTATCCCTCAAGGAAGAAATTTTTTTGAAAACATCAATTATTTCAATTTGCAATGAATTAATGGTAAAATTGGTGCAAGTCACTATATAGGTAAAATATTGTCACGGATGATAACATATTCTTATTTGGATCTCTGTCTGTTCTCACAGAAATCACAAACCAGTCGGAGCGAATTTCATTGGTTGAAAATAGTCAGAAAACTGGTTGTTGGCGATTTGCACCAATAAAAAGCACTCTGACTGGTTTGTGATTTCTGTGAGAACAGACCTATTATCAAGCTCGGAAAACATTGAAAAAATCAGACTTATAACTAGAGATGCCACGAATATTCGGGGCTACTATTCGGTATTCGGCCTATTCGGCAATTTTTTTTTGTATTCGGTATTCGGCCGATTAGTATTATCCGGCCGAATACCGAAAGCCTAATGAAACACGTTTTTATGCCATTGTTTCATTGTTTCTATAAGTAAAATTGCATTTTTCGTAGATAATGGTGAACAAAACATTTTAAAAAAATCATTAGAGCATTTTACTTTTTGCTGGCATTACCAATAATTTGTAGATATTTGAAAAAATGTTGCTTTTGTTCCTTTTCCACCTCACGAGATTTTAATGTTACACAACAAACATACAGCCATTTTATATTTTCATTCTTGGGTGACTTTTTATTAATTACTGGTGCCATTTTGATAACTTTTAAACTTTTGGATAAAAATAAACAGTAGTATAAGTAATAACGTGTGATCAAAAGAATATAGCTAATAATGCGTATTGTGACACGTGACACGATATATTCTCAAGTGAACCAAATTCAGAGGCGACGCGATGAGAATGAGACAGGTCCTGACCTGTTTTTAATGCACAAAACCCACAGATCTGCCGCCGAATATTCGGTGGCAGAATATTCGGCGCTACAAACGAGACAACAAAATTCGGTATTCGGCCAAATCACTATTCGTGGCATCTCTACTTATAACTTTTAAGCTGGGCAGCATTTCTCTGAACCATCTCACAAAACTAGAACCAGATTTTCTATAAACAGGCAAACATTTCAAAGAGGCCTAAATACAGGTTCAAAAAAGAGTAAATGGAAATCGCTTATTGTTGAAAAATTACCAGTTTCTTCCCACACAGCTACCGTTCTATCAAAGGAACAAGTGGCCAAAACTTGTCCGAATTCAGGATTTGCCCATGTCACTTTCCAAACAGAAGCACTGTGAGCTTTCCAACTGGACGTGAGTGTCCATTTGCCTTCTTTATTTCGATCCCAGACCTGAAAAATTATCACTAAAGGCTTTAAAAAAAATCGGCCCCATGCTTGATTATAATTACCTTTACATATTGATCGCTTGAGCACGTTGCAATCCGATCTCCGTAATAATCATAGGAGACGTCGTGTATTAAGTCTTTGTGCTCTGCACTTATTTCCTGGCATTCAAACATTTTTAATTATTATTTTTTCCTAGAAAATGAAAGTTAAGTTTAAATTTTATAACCGTGTGTGTAAACAACAACTTAACCAAGAAACGTCAAAAACGAACATATAAACAAATGCTGCGCTCGATAACTCGGTGTAAAACAATGGTGGGCGTGTTTGGGTTGACGCTCGGCGGAGCGAACAGAGCGATTACGGAGTAACGTCACGTCACATGGAGTACACCGTGTCAAGCCAAATCGAACGGTTCGTTCTGTTCGTTCTTACAGAATAAGGCCCCTGAGTGCACCGAGCGAGAACCCAAACGCGCCCGGTGTAAGAAAAAAATTCACACAAGAGACACAAAAACAAAACATTTGGTACGATCATCGAGGGTACGAGTTTTGGGACATTTCCGAGTCGCGTCTCTCGTCTTAGGTATAAAAAGTTTGGAGTAAATTTTTCTCCGAGTGATCCGTAGTGCCATACACGACCAAAACACGACAACATACGATATTTGAGAAGAGTCTTTGTTCCAGTTACTCCAAAAACTTAAAACATGAGCAACAAGAAGAGCACAAAAGCGTGATTTGGTTTGATTACTCCGTAGGCAGCACGACCGTTCATATTTTGCTGTCGAGTAAATGGAGCATATTCCAAAAGTTCCACCTGAAGATGAACCGGAAGTGGTCGCCAAATTAGAACCTATAGTTCTAGTTTGGGTCTTTCTAGCTGGTCTCTTTACTCTAGAACACATGTCTAAAAATTGCTCTGATTCAACTCCATAATATGTTGAATAGTCCCTTCTAATATGCACCGCAATGTTGCCAGCTCCATACAAATTAAAAAAAGCTATTTAATAAATATTATAAATTATTATTTTTGTATAAAATTCTTAACATTTCTTATAATCTTACTAATATTATCTTTTGGCGTAAAGCTTCCTAGTTTATTCCTATTCTGTGTGTATAAATAGAGTTCCAGGAGCACATTTTTGTTTCAAAATGCTTCAGAATATAAAGTATTTAAAATTAATTAAAAATAAACCAGTTCTAATAACAAGTATAACAAATACAAGACTCGGCATCGATATTATAAGAACAATTCTTACAATATTCCTGATGGCATTCCCTGCACAATTCAGCACAATTGCAACATAATGTTTTATCACAGTACGAACATTTGATGTTATTTCCTATTTCCATGCATTGACTACATTTTGCTTGATCCACAGGCCCTTGTTCAGGCTTCGGTTTAAATTGTTTCGTTGCTCCCAAATATAAAAGTTGTAGAGCTCTTTCTGAAGGTGTCGATAAAATGTGCCTTCCCTTGGAGTTGTTGAGGGTTTCTTGTTTTTTAATTGCTTGATATGGTTCGTCGGTGAACGGACACAACCTTTTCGACATCTTGTGACTGAGTAGAATTAAGTTTTAAAGTTATACAGATAAATTAAAAGGAGACCACTAATTTTCAAACTCAAACAATAACAAATCAATAACCTCAAATTGTCCAACAGATGTTAACCTTGCGTTCGGAGCTGTAAGCACGTGACCAGCGAGCGAACAGAGCAGTTGGACGATGTTTCAGAGTGCCCGAAATTTTAAATAAACGAACGCGATTGAGCCCGCACCGAGTACACTTTTTGAATAATGGAACGGTGATTTCAAGCTCGAAGAACTCAGATCAAAATACCGAACGCAAAGTAAATGTCAGAGTGAGAACAAATTTTTTTGTTTGTACCTAGTGCAGAAAACTACTACTCTTACTCGAGAGTACTCCAAGATCGGCAAACGAAAACGACTCTGCAGTGGAATGTCGGGGAGTACTGACAGTTGAAAATTTTTCCCGCCATAATTAACCTCACTTTTCATTGTTTAATCAAATTCATCTTTCAACAACTGTAATTTTATTATTTTTTAGGATTTTATTTACTATTACGTGTGGGTGGTTCCTATTGTTTTATTGAATTTATTTAGTTTGTATTTTAACATTTTTAACTACCTTATTTGAATTTGTGTATTCGTGCATAGTTTTCTTTTTTAATTTACAATGGATGATGACTGTAAGTAATTATAATTTCCTCACTTATTTGTTGGTAATTTGATTGTACTTGCACTGATTTGATTGAATTAACAATTTGTAAAATAGTAGTCAACCTTTTGATCATACATTGGGACTTATCAAGCAGTAGTCTCGACTCTTTGCAAATCATCATGCAGGGCAAGCTGTCAGGTGCTTCAAGAAAAATACTTGAAATTGTACTTCAAGTTCTTATAAGTGCCTAAAGTATTTTACTTGAAGTACAGTGGATAAACGGTACCTATTCTTGGTACTCAGGCTATTTTTTGCACTGTACTGGATTTCATCAGGTACAGGGTGCTTTTTCCAATGACCTTTTTTCACATATTGACACCCCACCTTAAGCCTTCACCTTTACAGGTAGAAGAAAGGTGTAAATACAAAAGTTGTACAGTTTAGGCTAAATTTTTAGAATCCATGGTCAGAAACAAAAATTAATTGTCAGATTCAATGTCAGAAATGTGGAATGTTGCATGCTTTTAGCTTTTTTCAAATGGAATGCCCTATACCATGCCATCTACACAGACTTTTCAAAGGCTTTCGACAAGGTTAGCCACACTCTGCTTTTGGGAAAGCTTGAGAGGTATGGTGTGTTTGGCAATCTCCTGCAATGGTTCTATAGTTATCTGACCAACAGAAAACAACAGGTGAAAGTAGGCAGTTTTGTTTCTGAAGAGATATTGGTCTCCTCTGGCGTTCCACAAGGTTCACATTTGGGTCCACTTTTATTTAATATTTTCATCAATGATGTAACAGAGTGCTTGAAATATTCCAAATGTCTTTTGTATGCAGACGACCTAAAGATTTTCAGAGTTATTCAAGATTTGAGTGATTGTTTGAGAATCCAAGAAGATTTAAATGCTTTGAGTGAATGGTGTAATACAAATGGAATGACATTAAACATCGATAAATGTTTTATTGTAAGGTTTTATAGATTGAAAAATATTATTGAATTCAATTATTCCCTAGATAATACTTCACTTAAAAGTAAAGAAGAGCTAAGAGACCTAGGTGTTTTTTTTGACAGTAGCTTGAGTTTCAACTTTCATGTTAACTATATAACTAATAGAGCATTAAAATTGCTGGGTTTTATTAAAAGAACTCTGCAAGACTTTAGTAGTATTAATTGCTTTAGAACTCTATTTTGCTCTTACATAAGGTCAGTTTTGGAATATGCTTGTCAGGTTTGGTCTCCTTACTATGGTCAGTATGTTCAACAGATTGAAAGAGTGCAGAACAGGTTTGTGAAATTTGTTGGGTTTAAATTGGGTATACCAAATGAGGATATTGTATATGAAGAAATACTTAACTCCCTTAATCTTACAACTCTCAGCAATAGGAGAAAATATATTGATATGAGAACCCTATATAAAATCTTAAATGGCTACATAGACTGTCCAGAATTGCTATCTTTGTTAGGGCTTAAATTGCCACAGAGAAATCTGAGAGGGGTAAACCTGTTTAATGTTGGATTTCATAGAACGAATTATGGTTTATCTTCATCTCTGACACGCTTTTCAGATAGTGCAAATAAATTGCTTGCAAATGGTGATGTAGACATCTTTAATGATTCTTTAAATGTGTTTGGCGCAAAATTAGAAAATATCCTGTAATCGAGCCTGTGATATAAACTAGTTTAAACGAATTTTAATGTTTTAACTTGTACTTATTTTTTATTTATTTTTTAACAACTTTAATTTTTGAATTGGTGTTAATGTGATGCTAGGGACTGTAGGTAACCGTTTTTTCACTGATTTAACTGATATGTCCGAAGGGTCAACCACCAGTGGCAGTTGGTGTACAAACAGGTGGCAGTAATGGCATTATTGGCAATAACTGACATTATTTGGTAGTGACGAGCAGTATTCGGCAGTAAGAAGCATTATTCGGCAGTAACAAGCATTATTGGGCAGTAGCTAGCAATATTTGGCAGTATCTAGCAGTATTTGCCATTTATAGCGACATCTGTCGGTGGTATTTTTTCTAAAAAATCTTTGTTTATATTTAAACGATAACAAGCATTACAGGCAGTAATGGTATTTTTAGGAATTATCAGCAGTAAATGGCATTATTCAGAATTAAATGGCATTACAAGCAGTAAATGGCATTATTCGTCAGTAAACAACATTAAAAGCAGTTAAAGGCATTATGTGGCAATTTGGCAGTTGTTGTACACATTTTTACTATTTGGTTTGCCCGAGGGGTCAACCAATAGTGGCAGTTGGTGAACAAACAGTGGCAGTACTGGCATTATTGGCAATAACTGGCATTTTTTGGTAGTAACGAGAAATATTTGGCAGTAACAAGCATTATTCGGCAGTAACAAGCATTATTCGGCAGTAACAAGCATTATTGGGTAGTAACTAGCAATATTTGGCAGTATCTAGCAGTATATGTCATTTATAGCGAAATCTGTCGGCGGTATTTTCTCCTGGAATCTTCGTTTTTATTTAAACGATAAGAAGCATTACAGGCAGTAATGGCATTTTTAAGCATTATCAGCAGTAAATGGCATTACAAGCAGTAAATGGCATTATTCGTCAGTAAACCACATTATAAGCAGTAAGTAAAAGGTATTATTTGGCAGTTTGGCAGTTGGTGTACACATTTTTACTAGGTGGTTTGCCCCTCGGATATGTCTATATGTTATATTGTTTGTTTATTGTATTTTTGATGCTTATTTTTAGTATTAGTCCAATTTCTGTAAATGGCTGGTCCGTTAATAAACATTTATTTATTTAAACATTTATTTATTTATTTATTCATACGAGGGGTCAACCACTTCCCGAAATACGTGTACATTTGGCCCGAATTACCTCCGAAATACTTCGAAATACCTAGAAATACCTTGAAGTATCTCGAAATACCAGGTATTCCCGTCGAAGTACGCGAAATCCCATGAAATTACCGTCGAATTACACGAAATACCCTCGAATTACCATGCGAAGCCCCACAATACTTCTAAAAAATTTATGGTTGACAACGATTCTTCTTGCAGATCGCAGGAAAGTATTTTTGCTCGTATTTTTGGGTCTTTTGATATGATGGATTTTATTTGGACACACAGGCTAGACAATTAAATCAATAGTTAGTGATGCAAGTGACTGTTAGTTCTACAATGCTGTTAGGTACAGGATCATCCAACGAGGACTGAACAGGGGCAATTTTTGACTTTCCCTGTATTTTTTAGAACATCCAAAATAGCCATTGGAATATTTTTTTTTTCTGGAGAATTCAAAAATGTTACCAAAAATCGTTTGAACCAAAAACCAAAGAGTTACGCGCGCTATGGATGAACTGTTTCTTAAATAGAACGCCGTGTTTTTTTGTATGATTTTTGGAAAAGTCTCATTTTTCACGTCTATTCTGTTGAACATACATATTTGATATTCCGATTGCTGTTTTTATTTTAATGTTTTATGCTTAATCATTTTAGCTAGACCCTCGGCTAGACCTGTTGGATTTAATTGGTTCATAGGTGATAAAGGTATAATCTTTGTATTTTGTTGCCATGTAACAAACAGGTAAAGCAAAAATTAATAAGAATAAAACATTAAAATAAAATAGAAACATTTATCGGAATATCAAACATTATCAACAGAATAGATGTAAAAAAATGCAACTTCTCCAAAAATCATACATACAAATCATTTAAAAAACAGCTCATTCATGGCGTAAGTAACTCTGGTTTTTGGTTCAAAGGATTTTTTGGTACCATTTTTGAGTCTCCAGAGAAAAAATTTCCAATTGGCTATTTTGAATTTTCTCAAAAATACAGGGAAAGTCAAAAATAATCCTCTGTTCAGTCATCGTTGGATGACTCTGTACTATTAACTAACTGACATTGATTACTAATACATATCAGGTATATACTTATAGTATACCCACCTATCTTTCCATTTGTTTCAATTAATCTGCAGTAAATTTAAAGTATGTCAACAGTCAACATATTTAGCCTGTTCGAAGATGGACTATAATTTTTATTCTATAATATTCCAATTTTAGGTGATAAAGAATTAATTGTTCTCGGTACATAAAAAAAAAACTACTTTAAATAGCTCGAAATACCTCAGCTTACCGCGAAATACTTCGAATTTTTCGAATTACCTCGAAATACTTCAATTTACCTCAAAATATTTCGAATTACCTCCAAATACTTAGAAGTACTCGGCAATACCACAAAAAACTAGGTTTGAATTACCACCACCGAAATACTTTGAATTTCGCGAAATACTTGCGAAATACCGACATTTTAGCAATACATGTACAAATTTTTATGCCGGTTTTCCACTAAACGGACTGTTGAGTTTGTGTTGTAAAACATGTTTTAAAACAAACAAAAAAAACTGAAATAAACACAAAACTCTTGTTTCCATCAAGCGAACTACGTTTTTTTTTCTCAGGGAAACAAAACTCCAACTGTCTCAAAACACGCTAGTCTTGAAAATGTTTGGGAAAAGTTTGAGTTTGGGTTTTGTTTTTGTTTTGTCTGTTTGGTGGAAAACCGGCATTACAGAGTGGTTTACCCTTCAGCCCTATATTTGATTAAAAATTCTTGTAGAGCAAAACTTCCCAATTCCAAAAATATATAGTTTGTTGATATTTGGTTGAGCCGTCTCCAAAATATTTGGTTTTAAATTTTTTTAAAATACTATCAGAGAAACCAAGTACCGCAAATTTTACCTGCAGCTTTCACCTGTACAGGTAGAATGTATAGCAAAATTAGAGAATATATAAGAGACTGCTCAACCAAATATAGACAAACTATATGTTTTTGGAATCGGGGCATTGTGCTCTTCAAGAATATAGAACCAAAAATAGGGCATCCCATTTGAAAAAAGCTGAAAGCATGCAAAATTTCACATTTCTGACATTCAATTTTTGTTTCTGACCATAATTTCTGAAAATTTAGCCAAAACTACAACTTTTGTATTTACACCTTTATTCTACCTGTAAAGGTAAAGGCTGTAGGTGGGGTGTCAATATACAGGGTGTCCCAGGGAAAACAGTCCACCCCGATTTATTGGATTTGGGATGAGAATCTGGAAAAACGCTCGGACACGTCGATTTTTGATTTGAGGAGGAATTATTTTTCAGTTTTTTTCACCCCTGTAGCTTCAATCCCCCAGCTAGGGGGAGAACAACCCCCCAAATTTGAATAGGGGATAGGGGTCCTGTCATATATCTTTTCAAAGGTCTCATCGAGTTCTTTATGGCCCTAGAATTTCGTCTCATTATTTTCATTCGTAACGCTACGGGGATGAAAAAAACTGAAAAATAGTTCCCTCTCAAATCAAACATCGATGTATCCCAGATTCTCATCCCAAATCCAATAAATCGGGGTGGAATGTTTTCCCTGGGACACCCTGTATAAAAAAAACCCACAAAGACTTGAAGTACCGTATAGAATTTTCAATACCTATTTAGAAATACCAGTCGTTCTAGTGACTAAACGTATGTCGCTTCTTGAACACACAAATAAAATTAGGTTAGAAATTTCCTATTTGTACTAATACGTCAATTGTATTAGTAATCGACGTTCGTTTTTGTTGGTATTTTTTTTGTTTCATCTGATTCGTAATTGATAAATAAAGATGAAGTTATTCTAAATGGGTATTAAAAATACTAGGGTCTGTTTTTTTTTTAAAGATAATTCCCCAAGTCAAAAATTTAGTAACTATGTTGGCAACACAAGCCTTTTCTACATAAAAAATTTGAAAGCATTAGCAATTTTACATTGTATTGCCAACATAATGTCATTTTGACTTTTATCTTTAAAAAAAAAACAGATTTTATACTTCACAACTTTTGTATTTACACCTATCATCTACATGTAAAGGTAAAGGTTGCAGGTGGGGTGCAAAATACAGGAAAAACATTGTACAAGTACTTGAAATACTTCAGTTGTACTTCAAGTTAAGAACTGTGAAAAATTCCAGTACTTCTATTAAGTTCTTGGTAATTGAAGTACATTTTTAAAAAAATGTAGTTTTTACTTCAATTACTTCTACAAAACTTTGATTACTTTGTACTTGTACTACAAGTAGTTTACTGATGTACTTGTAACAGCTCTGTTAAAACATACTACATAAACAGTTCAAACTCATAAATGCTGACTAAAACCTAATTTGATTTGTATTGTATAAACTGATTCGGATCTGTAATTTTAAGCTGAAGCGAGAAAACCAAAAAGGCAAAAAACAAGCTACAAGGCAAAAGCCTTTGAAAAATTTAAACAGCTTAAAAGTGGTGGTCGTAATAAATATGAAATCGAAGAAGTTGATAACCTTTATGAAGTCGTTGATGAGAGAGAATATGCCAAAAAGGTGCTGGACAGGCAAGACGATGATTGGATAGTTGATGATGGTAATTGCACTTTAATGTTGTTTTTTTTCTTACAAAACTCATTGGTTTTTTTTTAAGATGGTAGTGGTTATGTGGAAGATGGCAGGGACATTTTTGACGATGATTTAGATGCTGAATCAATCAATCAAGCCAAATCCAAAAATAAAGGTGTTAAAAGGAAAAAAGCTGTCTCTGATAATGCACCTAAAGGCAATTTGAAATATATGCTTTCAAATATTACTAGCAAAAAGAAAGAGGTAAAACATTTTTACTCCAAGTAACTTGTACTCAATCCTATCTTTATAGGAAACACAAATAGAAGATGATAATATGCTGTCAGAAATTTTGGGCGAAATCGATGCCTCTCCATCTACAAGCAAAAAGGATTCGAAACCTTTTGTCCCTAAAAGTCAGCTGGCTCAAAATTACCTCAAGAAATTTTCAATTGATAAGAAAACGAAAGCTGAAAAACCCCCAATTGATACTGTCATGGATGAAGAGATTGTTGAAATACCTTTAAAAAGTAAAAAAAATATAATTATTGTTTTTCATTGTATAAGTATGCTTAAAATGTTTTAGATGTAGACTCAGAAAAGGATGAATTATTGTCGAATTCAAAACAAGCAACTAAGATAATTCCACAGAAACAGAAAGAAGAAGTCTCTGAATCACATCAAAATGAAGATTTTCATGATGCAGAAGACGTCTTTGCTGACGATCTTGATTTAGTCCAAATGGACGCTATTGAATCAAAAATCACTGAATCTGAGACTGCTGCGGAGCCCAAAAACGATTCATTTGATTTAGCTGCTATGTTTACGCAGAGCAGCGGCTTCAATGAATCTTTGGAAGAAGAGGAAATTTGTACACCTTCTGTATCTGATGATGAGGTAAGTTAACTGAATTATTCTCAAAATATTGACTTCAAATTTTGCCTTGATCATGTTAGAATGTAGTCCTGGTGAAGACCTACAAAATCTGCAAGTTTTGTCTCATTCTGAAATTACAGATCCAAAGATAGGAACCTGTTAAGAATGAGAGGACAAAATTTTCGAAATTTTTAACTGGATAACTTTCAAAAATATTGATTTCAAATCTTGCCTTGTTGTCTTAGAATGTAGTTATAGCGAAGAACCACAAAATCTGCAAATATTGTCTCGTTTGGAATTATAGATTTAAAGATTGTAACTTGTTAAGGATGAGAAGACGTATTTTTATCACAGTCATCTTTATTGAGGTTTTGGTAAGCTTGCAATAAACTTGTATATTTTTTTAGGCTTTCAGATTCTTTTGGTGGGACGCATTCGAAGATGCCGAAAAACAAAAAGGCAAAGTTTTTCTATTTGGTAAAACTTATTGCAGAAAATCCAAATCTTACTTGAGTTGTTGTGTTGCTGTAGAAAATTTAAGCTCGCAGGTTTTCGTGCTTCCACGTCCATTTGTAAGTTACCCAACTTTGTGTGCTAATTTATTTAGCAATAGTGTTATTATTTATTATAATATAGATGCTAGATGATAGCGGAAAGCCAACAGAAAAACCCGTGACTTATCAAGAGCTGTATAAAGAATTTACATCGTTAGTTGCCGACAAGATGAATATTCAAAATTATAAAGCCAGGCTGTGTCAGAAAAAATACGCCTTCGATCCAACTGTTCCCGCCGAGTCCGACTATATGGAAGTTAGGTTTCCAGCAAATGGCCCCAGAATCTTTCCGGAATCCATCAAAGGATGCCCGAAAACATTTTCCAAAATATTCGGCGCCTTTTCCAGCACCCTGGAACGATTCCTTTTGGAGGCCAAACTCAAAGGCCCTTGCTGGTTGGACATCAAAAATCCTATATTCAATAATCATCCGATGACCTGGTGCAAAATTGAAGTCAAATGTGCTTCCATAAGAGATGTGGTTAAAGTTGCAGAAAATTTACCACCACCTCCATTGACTGTGGCTACAATTAACTTTAGGCATCATATAAATTTAGGTACAAATCAGCAAGAAATTTTGATGGTCTCTTGTGTGACTCAGACGAGTTATGCTGTTGATAAGAAAGCTCCTAGGCAGGTGTTTGATCAACATTTTTGTGGTAAGTGTGTTTGATTGTTCAAACATTCACTCATTAATGAAGTGTTATTATCTTACGGCTTTGTTTAGTGTTTACTGGTCCTTCAAAGCAACCTCTTCCCTTAAATATCCACGCACAGCTACAAAACTACAAAGGAACTCGTGTACAAAAAATGGACTCCGAAAAGGCACTTTTAAACTATTTCATCATCCAATTTGCCAAAATCGATCCAGATTTAATTGTCGGTCACGATTTGGTTGGATTACAAATTGACATTTTGGCTAATCGCCTAATAAAACGCGATGTTTCTACGTTTAGTAAACTGAGCAGGGTCAAGCGGGCAGAAAAGGGCCGCTTGGTACAAGATTTGTTTACCGGACGTTTGGTGGCGGATTTAAAAATTTCCGCCAAAGAATTAATCAAGTCCAGAACGTACGATTTGCCAACGCTTTGTCAGCAAGTCCTTAAGCTACGAGAAGACCAAATAACAGATTTGGAACCAGACGAGGTTGTAAGAATGTATGAAAACACAGAAGATATTTTTAAATTAATAGAATATACAATGCAAGATACTGCTTATATGCTCAAAATCTTATACGATTTAAACATTATTCCTTTGGCATTGCAAATAACCAACATAGCAGGAAATATTATGTCCAAAACACTTATGGGTGGCAGATCTGAGAGAAATGAATATTTGCTGATGCATGCTTTTCAAGAAAAGGACTATATTGTTCCAGAGAAGAAGTTCAAAAGAAGAAGAAACAATAATGATAGCCAACAAGTAGCTAAGAAGAAACCTGCATATGCAGGTAAGAATTTTTTACTATTTATAAAGACTACTTGCTGCTAAATCAAACATTTTAGGTGGTTTGGTTCTGGAACCTAAAATCGGCTTCTACGACAAACTTCTTTTACTCATGGATTTTAATTCACTTTATCCCAGCATCATACAAGAATACAATATTTGTTTTACCACATTACCCACCACAGACGAAGACAATAATTTAGTTTTGCCTGATAAAAATCTACCTCCCGGCATCTTGCCTGTGGAAATAAAAAAACTTGTTGATAGTAGAAAGCAAGTTAAAAAGTTAATGGCCACTCCTGATCTATCTCCAGATATGTGGATGCAGTATAATATCAGGCAAATGGCTTTGAAATTAACTGCTAACAGTATGTATGGGTGTTTGGGATTTGCAAATTCAAGGTAAGCATTGTTGACTCAGTGTTGAATAATATATAAAAATTATTTTCTAGATTCTATGCAAAAAATCTAGCTGCTCTTGTGACACAAAAGGGCAGAGAAATTTTAACAAACACCAAAGATCTAGTAGAAAAAATGATGTTTGAAGTAGTTTACGGAGACACTGACAGTATAATGATTAACACAAACTTGCTAGATTATGATCAAGTCCTTAAAATTGGCAACAAAATTAAACAGGAAGTGAACAAGTATTATAAAATGGTGGAACTAGATGTTGATGGAATTTTCAAATATTTACTATTATTAAAAAAAAAGAAATATGCTGCAGTCACACTTAAAAGAACAAACGATGGGCAGTTACAAGAAGAAAAAGAATATAAGGGTTTGGATATTGTGAGAAGAGATTGGTCTCGAATATCTTCTGAGGCAGGCAAACAAGTTCTGGAGTATATTCTGAGTGACCAAACCGAAGATGAACGCTTAATTAATATACAAAATTACTTGAGAAAGTTGCGTGAAGATTTGGAAGAGGGTAGAATGCCGATTCAGTTGCTTGAAATTACCAAGCAATTGGCAAAAGATCCTAAAGAATATCCGAATAAAGATAACTTTGCTCATGTGTTAGTTGCTTTAAGGTAATTGTGTTAACTTATTGTTGTTCAGTAGATATTTATATAATTTATCCATTCCAGGTACAATCAAGAACACAGAGGTCATCTCAGAGTTGGGGACGCTGTATGCTACGTTATTTGTGAAGATGGCACAAACAACTCGGCCACAAAACGTGGTTATCATCCTGAAGAACTAAAAATCAAAGAGCACCTAAAAATCGATGTTAAATACTACCTATCCCAACAAATTCATCCTGTTGTGGCCAGATTAATTGATCCTCTGGAAGGAATTGATGCCGATGTGATTGCCGAATGTTTGGGCTTGGACGGGACTGTTTACAAAAAGGCTGTTGCAAAGAAACCTCAAGATGTAGGAGAAAATATTATGTTACCCGAAGTGAAATTTCGAAATTGTGTTAAGTTTACCTTCAAATGCCTCGTATGCCAAGAAGAGAATATCGTTAACGGGCCTTTAAACGAAGACAAAGTACCATTTTTGACGAAATGCTCTAACCCAGACTGCACAGCTAAACCTATAGATTATCTGTATCACATCCAAAATCAATTGTGTTTCAAAATTAACGAATTCATAAGGAAATATTACAATAACAAGTTGATTTGTGAAGATCCAAGTTGCACCACCGAAACTAACAAGTTGCCAATCAAGTTTATGTCGAAATATCCAGTTTGTCAGGGATGTCAGCAAGGCGTTTTGTATAGGGACTACACTGAGGCAGAGCTGGCTACTCAATTGGAATATTTTGTTTATATATTTAATCTCGCTAATTTGAATAAAAGTAAGTGGAATAATTATTGTTAGTTGGTGTTTGAAACAGAGTAGGGTTTTTTGGACAAAATGTGAGTCTTTTAGATTATTTTTCTCTAGAGACCAAAAGAAGCTTCACAATAATAGTTTTTTACGACAGCAAAAGCTGTTGCTACTGCCTACTTTTGTTAAATTTTCATCTGGGTTTAAAGTTTTTTTAAAGACTTTCTTTAATGATTTTATTTGCAATCAATTCAGCACCTCTAATTTACCTAATTGGTTGGACTTGAGACAAAAAAATCAAATTTCATAACTGTTTTCAAGCTGTTTCTTAAATATTGAACTCTTAAAACACAGTAAAATCCCTGTGCTTTTTTAAATTCTTGTTTTATTCCAGAACCATTACTTGAAGATTCCATAGAACGAGGTTATCACCAGTTAGTGGAAACTGTCAGCAGTTATGTAAAAAGATCTGCCTACTCTGTGGTTAATTTGAAGGAAGTTTTTGAAATTCTTGAGAAAATCGGGTCTGAAAAATGTATTCGTTAACATTATTATAGTCCATCATTCAAATTGAGATTGCAATTTCAATTGATCAAATTTGATTCCTTTGCTATTTTGCACAGTTTTTCTCTAGGGGTAGTCTACATTTTGAAATAAAACGGGTAGCTATTTGCCCGTTGAATTTTTTATTTTATTACATTGTATTTTAAGTTTTTATTGTTATTTTTTTTTTCAAATGCTCACCAAGTATTTCAAAGTGTTAGTCTTGATTTATACGCATTTTTCCAACGTTTTTAAGATAAATGAAACAGCAAATTATAAACAAAAATGTATTTAATAAATAAAAAATAATTTAACAATAATAAAAATAAATTAGATTTTGAATTATTTAAACCTAAAATGGAATTTTTACATAGTTTTCTTCGATACATGCGATTGATTACTTGTATTACTACTATTTGACACCGCAACGGAAGCTTCTTGTCTTTGGAAAACACTCGCTAACGATTTAAACGCGTCCACCACCAACTCATTAACAAAATTAATAAATTGCTTGGCAACCTCAGCAGGAGTATCGTATTCATTCGGTACAATACAATCCACACTGTTTTCAAAATACGAAAACAATGGGAACCACACTCGAGTACGTGTAGAGTCTCTAGACATGAGAGCTTGATTATTAGCTAGAGTGTGATAGTAGAGGAAGAGCCTGCTTGTTATGTAGAAAGCTACAAATACGTCGATGGAATAATGCTCGTGGGCAGCTAGGATGAAGAAGACTCCGAACATGTTCATCATCCAGGAGAGAGTGTGGACATAGTAGATGTGTCTTGGAGTATCTGGAATAATTTTTGATTATTAATTTGTTTAAAGTGCACTTTACTCTATCGTATACTGAAGAAATAAACCTAAATAATGATATGCAAATTAGCAACTTATTAAAAATATGAAAAATACAGCCTTTGTAACTTTGTACTGATTTCTCTTTGTATTATATTCAGAGCGGAATTGAAAAGATCAATATGGGAAAAGTCCTGATTGTAATTAGTGACCAGATGCGTCATGATGCAATTTAAACCATAGTTTGTTCTATGCACAGGTTACTGAATTACAATTTCTGTCAGAAGTTCGGGCGAGTTTATAATGTTCTGCAAAATTTTCTAGATTAAAATGAGCTGGGCATTTTTGCGTCGATTTTCAAGGCTGGGTATGCTGCAGATCTGTAGACGAATCTCATTTTGGTAAGGAAATCTCAGTTTGTAGACTAGGTATTTGGCAAATTTATTTTGCACTCCTTCTAATGGGGCATACGTAACTTGGATTCCAAATTGGGCTGTAGTAGGATAGAATGAGACTAATATAAGCAGATAACAGACTTCATATCATATATGTCCCTGCTGTTTCGTTTGATGGAACCTATAAGTCTAAAACTTTTTATTACGATATTGTCGATGTGTTTGTTGGAAGACAGGTCTTTTTCAAAGGTATCTGAAGGTGTCGACTGTTTCCAGATTGGCGTTGTTGATGGTATATATGGGCAGTATAGAATTTATGGTCTTGAATTCGAGAAGATTTGAGTTGCACCAAGGGACCAACCTGTCCAAATCGGGCTGGAGAGAGGTCCTGTCCACAACTGCGAAAAACTTCAAGTAGTCAGCTTATAGTAAGCAGAGGGATGATTGGAAGCATTGGATGACGACATTTATGAAAAAAACAAACAGAATCGGTCCGATGTGCGATCCCTAAAGGACCCCAGATGGAACTATGAACTTATGGGATACTGCACCGCACGCACCAACTCTTCGACATTTACGATTCTATAAATTTTAAAAAACGTGCACCGAAGCCCATATTTGTGAATTTTTTCAGTAAGACCTTATGGCACATGCTATAAAAGGTCTTTGGCATATCCTTGAAGATCACGTCCACCTGTTTTCCTTTTCCTGATTCCAAAGCCTTCGTTAGGAACTGTTGGTAGACAGCAAGTTTATAGCAGTGGATTTTCCTTTGCAGAACCCGTGCTTTTCGTTAGCAATGTAGTACACATCGTCTATTAGAACGGATTCCTTAATTTTAGGAATGTACGATAGTAGAGATATGTCCCTATAATTATTCACATCAGTGCTATCTTCTGATTTGTGAATAGGAAAAAGTTTTGAGATTTTCCAACTTCTGGGAAACATGCCAGTTGGAAAATATGCTTCAGAGGTTCTATTAGAAATGTGCAACAGCCTTTAAGAAACACTGGGGAGAGATCATACCATCTGGTCTAGGACTCTTTGAGGCACCGAGATCCAGAATTTTTCTCTGTATTTCCTTGACTGTGAAGACATGTTTTTTGATTTGATCTCAACATCCTTGTGGTCAGAGTAACAATTTTTAAAATGTGCGGCAAAGATTTCAGCAATCTCTTGACGGAGAACGGATATTGTTAAAGTGCATCTGATTCGGCAAACCTGCATCTCTCCTCAAAGATCTTATAAATGACCAGAAGTGTTTCACATTTAACGGAATTAAATGTGATACTTCAGTAACATGTATTCCCGGGCTTCAGAGTAAGCTTCATAGTCCGTTTGAGGTTTTGATGTTCTGTACTTCTTATACAGTCGATTTTTATGTGCAATGGACTTTTTTAGCTCAAAGTTTATTTATTTATTTATTTATTTATTTATTTATTTACGGGCATGGCCCAATTTCATAAAGTAATGTAATACATATAACATTTTATACACAGAATAAACACGTTTTGATAATAATTATTTTTGAGGCAAACAAAAAATAGCATAACAGCTCCACTATTCTAATTTTAATTTATATCATTTTGAGGTTTGAGGTATAGAGATTTCAAGCTAAGGCACTCAACTGCTTTATAAACGCCGAGTTACTTGAAAAGAAATCAAGCCAGGAACACTCGTTTGCCAGACTGCACGACCTGGATATAAAGCTATTCTGACCGTAGTTGGTTCTATGCGCCGGCACGGAAAAAGTATCCCTAAAGCGAGTTTCCCTAGAAGGCACATGTAAACCTATTTTATGCAACAACAAGGGGCAATTATATCTATTATGTATTAAGTAATATAGCATCCTAAGATCTTTCACATACCGTCGGTGTTCAAGGCTTCTGATATGGATATTTGATTCCAACTGTGGGTATGTCAATTCGGGAGTATTAAGTTTAAAAGCGATGAATTTTAAAAATTTGTGTTGAACTTTTTCTATGTTTTGGATATGTACATTGTAGTGGGGATTCCAGACGCAAGAAGAGTACTCGAGATGAGTCCTTATCAATGAGCAATATAATTGTTTAATCGCTCTAGTGTTAGTGAATTCACAGGTTATACGCTTCATAAAACCGAGCATCTGGGGAGATTTCGATAAGGCTTTGTGGATGTGTGGGAAGAAAGTGAGCTTGGAGTCCAGCAGAAGACCTAAATCTTTGATTTCGGGGACGTTTTCGAGTATATCATTTTTAATCGAATAGGATGTACAAAAGGCGATCTTGACTTATGGAAAACTATCGAATAGCACTTTGAGGAATTCAGGTCCATCCCATTTCCGTTGCACCAAGCTACTAGATTATTTATGTCTGATTGTAGAGCTAGACAATCATCCGGAGAAGTTATTTCCATGTACAACTTCAAATCATCTGCGAAAAGGAGAAACTGACTGTGTTTGAAGTGCAATATTAGATCATTGATAAAAATGTTGAAGAGAAGAGGGCCAAGATGCGACCCCTGGGGGACTCCAGATGGTACTTGTATGTTTTTGGATTGAAAATTGTTGAATCGGACTATTTGAGATCGTCCTGTTAAAAAACTCTTCAACCAGCGCAGCAACGAACCTCCAACACCCACAAGCTCCAGTTTAGACAGAAGGACGGCGTGGTTAACCCTATCGAACGCCTTGGAGAAATCCGTGTAGATTGAGTGCACCTGAGAGCCTCTCTCCAAGGCACTGGATATAAAATCTACATACGCCAGCAGATTAAGTTCGGTATTCTTTGCGGCTTAAAAGCCAAACTGTCTAGAAATAACATGAGGACTTAGTATGGGGGTTAAGTATTTAGTTACTGTGTGTTCAAATATTTTGGGGATTGCACTCAAAATACTAATTGGTCGATAGTTCGTTATCAGATCCTTTTTTCCTGATTTGTGAATTGGTGTTAAGTAGCTTAGTTTCCAGAATTCGGGAAAAAATCCCTTTGAAAGAGACAAGTTGAAAATATAGTATAGTGGACGAGCTAAGACAAAGCTGCAGTGCTTGAGCAGTGATGGCGGTATACCGTCTGGCCCAGGTCCCTTATTTGTGTCTAGTGTATTTAAATGGGAGTATATATCAGAAATTAAAATAGAATAGTTAGTGACGTATGTGTTATTGTTATTATACTCAAAGTAAGGACGCTGGTGATTGGGGCAGGACTTAGTACTATAAATTTGAGAGAAATATTCGGCAAACATATTGGCAATTTCCAATCCAGAATCGCTGAAGTTTCTATTGTAATGAAGCTCACTGGGGGTATCGCGGTTGTCTTTTTTAGAGTTGACATAGTTCCAAAATTGTTTGGGATTGGTTATTAGGGAATTTTCTGTGAAAGTGATAAAAGCTTGATTGGATTCAATCAGCAATCTTTTGCAAACTAAGCGCAAGTCAGCAAACTTGCGATAATCGCGTTGAAGACCCGATATTTTGTACCGTTTGTGAGCTTTCTTTTTTTCTATTATATAATGTTTAAGGTCTTGTGAAAACCATCTGGGGAATCTACCTGAGGAAATTCTCTTAAGGGGAACAAAAAGTTCAATTGCCGAATAAATAGCATTATAGAAGATATTTACCATATCGTCCAGACTAGCATGCACGAGTAAATTATCCCATCCTAAGTAATCACTAATTAAATTTAAACTCGCCGACTTGAAATCTCTATAGTAACCGTCGCAAAAACGAGATTCATTTATATTGTCAGAATTAAAACACACTTTAATGTTCAAGGGTGGGTGATAATCATCCAGTGGCACAATACAATCATCAGCTTCACGGACCACGCAGGTTTCATCTTGAAAAAGCATCAGGTCCAGTGTTGACATGGAAATGTTTTGGACCATGTTGAGTTGAAATAAATTGTGGAAGGCACACATGTTGGAAACAACCTCCAAGGAATCCGCTTCGTTAGGGGGTGCAGGAGGCACAGATCTGACAACTGAGCCTAGAGCATTGTTTTCCCATAATGCATGAGGCAGGTTAAAGTCACCAAGAATTCCAATTGTTGCATGAGGGTGCTCCTCAGCACTCAGCTTGTCAATATTCTCACTGAACGAAACATAAGCAGCGGAAGGTGAGCGAGGGGGAAAATAAGCACTAGCTAAAATAAAGGATTTCTTGCCCGCTTCGATAAGGACAAAAACATCTTCTATGTTATCTTGTACAGATAGCTGCCTACTTTTGATGGATTTGTGGACCCCAATTAGAACCCCCCCGCCTCTATTATAAATGCTGGTTTGGAGAGATCGATCCCTTCTGTAGATCCTGTAATCCTGCATAAACAATTCAGCATCATTAAATGATTCATTAAGCCAGGTCTCAACAAATACGATGACTTTATAGTGGCACCCTGGGAGAGACTGCAAAAGATAATTTAGCTTAGTGCGGAGGCCTCTTACATTTTGGAAGTAGATCGAGAGTTGCTCATTGTGTGCAATTAGGCCCTTTGCTGGTTTTTTCATACAATAGAAGGAATGCCATGACGATATCTCACAATTAAATTTGTTTCCCTTTGAGATAATCGATTCGCTAGCTGTGCACGGACATCCTTTTCTTGGGCACGTTGCTGGGGGGCCAAGTCGGAGTTGATATAGACTTTTTTACCCTTTAGCTTTGTTCGATTCTTTAATAGGGAGAGAGTACTTCGTGCTGACTGGAAAGTGTCACTTTAACAGATCTATACCCATTTTTGTTTTTGCTTCCAATCCTTGTAGCTTTAATAATTGCAGGGGGGTTGTCTGACAGGGTACTGAACAGTTGCTGTAACTCGGCGGTGTCATTGCCTTCAGAAAGATTGAACACCATCAAAATATTGCTTCTAACTTGTCGATCCTGGAGTTCATTGTAAAATTCCTCTGCTGAAGTAGCTGGTGCTGCCTGGGTCGGTCGTGATTTTAATTTGTTGAGTTCTTCCTTCAGCTCGCTTATGGCCCTTATTAGTTTAGGTACATTCAACAATCCAGACTGGCAATCAAGGCAGAAAAATTTGAGGGTTCTTTTGGATTTAAGCTCCATGACCCTTATTTCAGATGCAGACAAATCACTACACTCAGGTTTTTTGTGGACATTGCGACCACAACCGTCGCAAGACAAAAGACCGGAAGCATCCCTTTCCTCAATTTCGCACTTAAAACAATGCATTTTTTCAGTCGCAATAAACAATGTTTTATCCAATTACCGCAACGCAGCACGGACTGGTTTGTTGGTATAGTAGGCGCGGGAAGGAATGTTCACAACAATTAAATTGTTTATACAATTTTTTTTGGGAAGAGCAATGGTTCGCACCGGATTGGATATTTATATCTGATTATTGGACAGCACAAATTATAATAATATCGAAGAATATTGGGAAAATTTAAGTCTTAGAGCCGTGAAAACACTTTCAAAATATCCGCGAGTTGAACCAATTGAGATATTTGTCAACCCTGGTGCTTCTTGGAGGTAAAAATTAAGAGAAGACAGGGTGGTCTTGGGCTGTGGGTTTCTCTACCTCTGAAAAATGTAGTCTGATGAGCGGCTGGAGGTCTGAGATGAAAGAAATGAAATCTGCCAATCTCCATATTCAGGGGCCAATTGCTGGCATTGAATAGTTTTTCTTTTAATCTTTTATTAGATATAAATAGAAATTATATTGATTTAAAAAAATATAAATTTCAAGTGTTACTTATTTGTTTCTTTAACAGTCTGTTGTTTTTTGATTTTGCTGACAATATGCAAACAGATCAAATATCTGAATTCTCTGATCTAATACTAAAAAAGGAAAATGGAAAATTAAAGAAAAATGTCATAGATCTGGAAGCAATTAGAAGGAGTACGATGCCTACAACTGAAACCCTAAATACTGAAACTGAATGATATTGAATTCTTGCTAGGGTAAAAGAAGTTCTTCTCTCTAAAAAACCCATTGATAGGTAATTGAATTTCAAATTTATTCTCAGAAAAATCAGTGAATAATGGTAGATATCTCTCAGAACATTCAGACTGGGCTTTTATAGCGGAATATTAGTATGGCTCTGAAAGGTTGAGCTTTTCATGGTTAGGTGTATCTCAAGCAAAGAAAATATTTGCTTCCCTCACAAAAAAGTCAAGAAAAAACACAATAAATATCTCCAGACATTCGAGCCGCCTGCGACTTAAGTAAATATAACACTAGCATACGTTTTCGTAATTAATTTTAAAAAAAACTAACAGAAAAACATATAACATATAACATAGGACTTCGTGTCTCGTAGGCAGATCTGACCCATAGAGTGCTGCAGGGATCAGTGCTTGGTCCCCTATTGTTTTTACTGTTTGCTGTTTGTGAATGATTTAACAAAGTATTTGACATTATAAAAATATCTTTGGAAAACTCTCCCTGTTTGCCGATGATACGTCAATCTGTTAGAGGGAAATGAATGAGGTGACTCTGAAAAGAGAGATGAATAAAGTCATGAAAGTGATTTAAGGCATGGTTTGACATCAATTACTTGGTATTGAACGTAGACAAAAAGAAAGAAAGTGATGACCTTTTAAAAAAACCAACCCATAACTTTGAGCATAGAGACACAATACAATGCGTTTCAAAACACAAATTTCTGGGAATACACAATGATTGGGATCTGAAATGGAAATAATAAAATTAGAAAAAAGTTATCATCGGTAACATTTGCTTATAGAACTGAATGCAAAGGGTTCTGAAGTAAAGCATGATACTTATCCTTTCTTCCTGGACCTGACAAAGGCTTTTGACTGCATCTCTTTTGATATCCTTTTTAACAAACTTAAGAATTACAACTTCCATCCAAGCAGCGTAGCTTTAGTCAGATCCTACATGAAGGAAAGAGAACAGTATGTGCTCTTTAATAATACATGCGCGAGCAGGCAGAAGATCAAGCATGGCTCTGTGTGCTGGGCCCCCTTCTCTTTCTCATCTACATCAATGATCATTTACTTCTGTGAACAACCTTGATGAGAGAAAATTCATTGGAAAAATTTTAAAAATACCGTCTTCAGGGTGTATTCTACTCTTTTAAGGAGTACCTTGCTGGTAATTTTGTTTTTGATTGGGTAATTCAATATTGTTGTGTTTGATCTTGAATATAGACTTAGAGCGAACTGTAGCTATTTTTCAATTTGTAAGGAATAAAATGTATTTTTATGATAAGATTTATCAGGAAATGTGTTCTTTACACTTTTCTGACATTGCACTTATGTGCAATTATTACCAATAACAAAACTGACTCGTAAACTGAATAACATTTCAATCAGTAAGGAAGATTATCATGCTCTTTTTGAATCCAGCTTAAGACATTGCATTATTGCATTATTTTTTGGGGGTCTAAGACTGAGTTTCAAACATTATCCGAATCACAACAAAAAGGAGCTTTGAGAATAATATGTAGGGCTGATATCTTGTTTTGCCACATTCTCATAATAAATTTACCCAGGAATTTACCAAAAGAACCTTGTTGCATGTGAGCAAGAACTGGAGTTTGTGGAAAATTTCAACATGAAGTTGTTCATCCTTTTCTGTTGGCCTTTTCATTGGTTAAATGACTATTGCTTTTATTTGTGTTTTTAATGTTTTTGCTATTATTTTTATTTGTATGTATTTGAATGCCATATTGATCAATAAATTGAAACTGAATTGAAATTTTTTGCAAGTTTTCAGAGTTCTGAACAATTCAAATATAGAAAACTACTGTAAAATCCCCTACTTACATTCTGTGATGAAAAAATTCAATGTTGTCAGCGCCACAGTGTGTCCGCTAAACATATAATCTCCACATGTCCTCACTCCTTGAATAGACATACCGGCCCCTCTCCAAATTATGTAGGCCTGAGACAGTTTCGTAGCTAAATTGTCAAAGGACGAGCCTCCTTGAACTGGAAAAGTGTTGCGCGGTTCGCATTGAAGATGAGTGCCAGGAACGCTGAGTGAAGTGATGAGCATCGTGATGCAGCGGAGCAGGAAGACTGTGCCGGATAAGGAGAAGAATCTTCTCAATAGTATAAACCTAGTTGAATTTTACTGCTTTTAAAATATTGAACTTACAGAAGAATTAGAAATATAGGTTATTTGGAGTAGCTATTATTGAAGCTAAATCCCCTCTATATTTTTGATGAACCAGTAAGGACAAAACTCTTACCTATGCTTATGAAATAATAAAACAATAAGCCATATAGTGAACATCAAAGTTCCAGTAACTTCGCACATATCAAAGGCCCAAGGAATGTGCGGAACATTATCTAAAAAAATATCTGGAAGCGGTGGATATTTCTTCATATCAGGAACACGATCGTGAACTATGACCATTACAAAAGCCGTGATCCAGGTGACGGCTACTACATAGCAAAGGCTGAGGAAAGCTTTGGTTTTTTCAGGAGGCAAACGAGGTCTGCCATCGTCCGACAGTGTCGGAGATATGTGTTCCACATCCCCATACTCACTTTCTTGTTTGCAACTTTGATGGTTGGAGTATATGCTCGATTCCGGGCTATCAGCGATGCCCAACTTTATCAGTATATCGTGGTTCTCCCTTTGCAGAGCCTTGCAAGTGCAATACAGAGCTTTTCTGTCTCGAAGAGTCAACTTACTGATTGGCTCCACAGTAAAATCGTTATCGTTCAAGCAAAGCAAACATTTTCCGTCCACTTTGTTTTCCTCACAAAGGATCCTGATACTGTTATCTGCCAGGCCCTGGTTTTGTAAATAACATTTTGTATATTCTAAGGTCCAATCCAATATTGGTAAATTGTCACTTTTCATGGTTTTGCACGTTTAATGGCGCGAACTGCTGACTGCATCGAAATTAAATCACGCACGAGTTTATTGTACCGTTCTCGTTCAGGATCATTTTAATAATAATTAAACGAAAGGAATGTGTGTAAAAAAAAGAAAACATAACCCAACAAATAATTTATTATCAGAAGTCAGAAGATAAAAAGTAAACAACCAACAGTGTTGCCACACCGCCTTGGAATTCTGTAGGAACTTTCGATTCGGAAATGATTTGATTTGATAGACCTACTAGTCTGGCAACGTTGCATTTTTGTCAAAAGAACGAAAACGATCGACACCCGATCGTCGATCGACCTATGGATGGAGAACCATACGAAAATATACAAAACTGTATGATTATTCAAAAACTCTACATATGAAACTGTATGATTATTCAAAAACTCTACTTACATAGGATTGAATTCATACTAACATGGAAAAATTGAGGGGGTAGTCAGAACCTGGAAAATACCAGTGGCGTACACTCGATCGACCTATGAATGGAGAACAGGGCCGTAGCTAGAGTCAAATTTGTGATAGGGCATGCACGGATCTTATGAGAAAAAATAAATTTCACGATTGTCATCGAATTGAAATATGTTATGCTTCTCGACTTCCTGAACATAAGTTCTCGTAGGCCCAAAAAGATCCTATGATTAGTTTCGGAGATACAGGACCGATAAAAAAAAGTAGTACAAGAAAAATCTCCAGAATCTGCGGGTACATTAATTTAATTCATAACCAAAAATGACATATTTTTGGCATTTTTCGACAAGTGTTTAACCATAGAGAAAATAGGGAACTTGCAAGTGAACTGAAATTTTCCAAATTTGTTTTAAATCGATAGTTTATACTGCACAATATTTATGTGACCAGTTTTTATTTAACTGATACCGCCCTTGTTACCCAAAAAATAATACTAAATTTTAAATAAAAAATTTCCCGCCAAAACAATGCTTCCATGATGGCTACCTTTTTTGACGTCACGATTTTGTAAAGGCCGTTTTACAGCTTGCAATTCTATCTGCAATATGCAAGAAACTTGAACGAGGGCATGTGCAGAAGTGAGTCAGCTGATTCGTTAATTTCTGCAAGATTCTTGAAACTTGAATGGCATTGCATGCAATCGGTTTGGTGCCATTTTTCTTGAAAGTTTTCGTGCAAGCAGGGGAATTTTCGGCAATTATGATGCTTAAAGTTGCTGCTATTGCTTTCTTCTTTTTATATAGACTTATAATCACTTTTTTTAGTTTTGGAAAATGCAAACAACAAGGTCCCGCAGCCATTTTGTTCCCAACCTCTTGTTACTTCTTAATATTAATATATAGGATTTAAATGGACATCTATCATAAAAAATTGAAATCGACTTATTTGATGACTATTATTAGGTCCATCAAATACGTTGTTTTCCATGTTTTATGATGGATGTTCACCTAGATCCCATATATTCAGATTTGAAATAAGCAATAGGTGGGCACAAGATGGCGGCGTTTGCAATATAAATATATGGGATTTTAGAACCAATCAAAAATAAATCAGCAATTGTCGCAATTGTGGGTAATAGAGTCACTGTAGGTAATTTCAGTGCGCACTGAGTGCATTCGTGTCCTCTTCTACTAGCATGTAAAAGAAAGTGACAGAAATACATGTTTTTTGCACTAATTTCACCAATAGTTCTTTTCACGTGGCTCCGGTTTAACTAACCGCAGGCTTATTCTCTACGAACAGCAATTACATAGCAACCAGCAACCGGTCGGAAGTTGCTTTTTTTAAATCGAAAACTCGCATTTGGCAGCGACTTGACAGCAACTATTGCGCAATTATCTGCGGTCGCAAGTTACAGAATAAGGCTGCAGGGTCACAAAACGGTTAGAGAAATGACATACCGTTTTCTAACCCGGTTACAAAGTGTAAAATACTTAGGTTTAATGATTAAAACAAGCACAATTAATTAAGTATTTTATTATCAAAACATCCAGCTTCTCAGTAGTAGGAACAACACTCCCGCGCACCAGCTGGTTCAGGTTGCCAGTTGCCCGTCCGACAGTTTACATCTTTTTTGTAGGTCATCTATTAAACCAGCATTTGGATATTATGGATAGGCAACCAACATAACATGTGGTTGGCCTACGCTGTTAATATACTATATTAAACATCTTTCTTCCTAAAGATCTAGCCTAACGGGCTTTTTAATCATTCGCCCAGATCTACTACATAAGGGCTTATTTGCTAAGATTTCTTCATCAAGGTTTTTAGTTGCATCATTATTAGAGTCGCAATTCTGAGTCAATGTTGGAGTATTGACAGAGAGATCATCATCGCTATCATTGTACTTTGCATAGGCATTTTCAACCGGGTTTAAACTTGGATTTAAATCAACCCTATTGCGTCTAATAATGTTGCCACTAGCATCTTTAACATTATAGGATCTTGGGGCATTATGAGAACAAATAATTTTCCCGGGTTCCCAAGTTTTGTTAATGTGATTGAAAATTGTTACATCATTTTCACTCTTAAACGGTATCAAGTCTTTTGCAGATTTATCAAAATATTTTTTATTGATATTACGTTTTCGTTCTATTTTTGTTACAACATTTTCACATAATTTGGGCATCAATAACTCATTAGAGACTGGAATCCTGGTTTTGGTCATACGACTATTCAATAACTGAGATGGGGAGTAGCCCATGTTTTTCAGTGGGGCATTTCTATAATTCAAAAGTGCCAACTCAAGATCTTCTCCTTTCTCTAAAGATTTTTTTATAAGTTTTTTTGATATGTCAACGGCTTTTTCTGCAAGGCCATTTGATCTAGGATAGTTGGGACTTCTAAATGACAATTCAAAATTCCAATCTTGTGAAAATGTTATAAATCTATGACTATTATATGGCACATTGTCACATACTAATAAATCTGGCGGACCAAATCTCGCAAACACACTCCTAAGTTCATTTATTACACTTTGTGCACTCTTGTCATTAATTGGTAAAAGTTCCAGCCAATTTGAAAAAGCATCAAATAATACAACATAACTTTTATTCGCAAAAGAAAAAATATCTGTTCCAATTCGTTCCCAACATCTAGTGGGAAGATGAAACTGCAACAATGTCTCTTTACAATTTTTACGTGCAAATTTTTCACACACTTTGCATGATTTTATAAATGATTCAATGTCTAATGCTTGCCCAGGCCAGTAAAATATTTGACGTGCTCGGTTTTTTGTTTTTTCTATTCCTAAATGACCTTCGTGTAGTACTTTCAACATTTCTGGTCTTAATTTTGTAGGCACTATGATTTTATTCTCTAAAAATAATAAATTATCTGAAAGGAAGATTTTATCTTTGAGCTTTGCATAAATTTTGACATTATCAGGAATTTTATACTTTTGCATGGGCCAGCCATGATCGAGAAAATCAATAACCAACTTCAATTGAGGATCATTGACTGTTTCTTCTCTAAATTGTTGTTTCCGCTCATCTGACATTGGAATGTATTTTGTAACAGTATGAATAGAAAATTCAATTTCAGAGTCTGCCTTCAACCCAGTAATATTTAGAAATGCTCTGGAAAGAGTGTCAGAAATATACATCTGCTTTCCAGGCTTATAAGTTATTTTAAGATTATAATTCAACATCTTCAATCTCATCCTTTGTAACCTAGGAGAGACTGAATGAAGATCTTTTTTAAAAATTGTCTCCAAAGGTTTATGATCACTGTGTACTGTTACATCAAGGCCATATATAAACAAATGGAATTTCTGCACAGCAAAGAGGATTGCTAAAGTTTCCTTCTCAATTTGCGCATATTTTTTTTCAGTGTTGGTAAGGCTTCTTGATGCAAAAGCAACAGGGTGACCTTCCTGCAGCAAACATGTACCAAGGCCATCTTTGGAGGCATCTGTTTCTATAATAATATTTTTTTCTGGATTAAAGAAAGTTAAAATTGGGGCGCTGGTGAGCAAATTCTTAAGTTCCAACACAGCTGTTGAGTGGCTTTCATTCCAATGCCATTGAACATCTTCTCTAGTCAGTTCTCTTAATGGTGAAGTTATTTTGGATAAATTTGGTATGAACCTACCAACAAACTTCACCATACCTAAAAATCTCAATAATGCAGTCTTATTTTCAGGATTAGGCATTTCAGTTATTGCCTCTACATAGGCCTTATTGATAGTAATACCATCCTTAGAGAATATCTGGCCTAAAAATTTTACACTTGGTTTTTTTAGCTGAATTTTAAGTTTATTGAATTTTATGTTATATTTTGAAGCTCTCTGTAAAACTGTTCTCAAATTGGAATCATGCTCCATTTCAGTTGAGCCAGTAACAATGAGATCATCAAAATATAACTCAACACCCTCAATATCTCCAAATAACTCGTAATTCTTTTTTTGGAAAACCTCCGGTGCTGAGGAAATTCCAAAGGGCAATCTCAAAAATTGGTAGCGTCCAAATGGGGTACCAAATGTGCATAGATCAGAGCTGGAAGAGTCAAGTTCAATCTGCCAATACCCATCACGCATATCTAAAACACTGAAAAAACGTTTGCCTGCTAATTTTGAAGAAATTTCTTCCAAAGATGGGATCAAAAAATGTTCCCTTCTGATGGCTTCATTCAATTGCTTTGGATCCAGGCATAAACGCAAATCTTTATTACTCTTCTCTACAATTACCAAAGCACTTAACCATTCAGTTGGCTTATCAATTTTTTTTATTATACCTTCTTGTTCAAGATCATTCAACTTTTTTCTTAAACGGTCATGCAAAATTCTTGGAACACGTCTAATTGGAGTAATTTTTGGAATTGCTCCTTCCCTTAATGATATGTGATGGGTATTGGGAAATTTCCCCAGCCCTGTGAAAACTTCCGGAAATTCTTTTTCAATATCATCTACAGTGCTAAATACTGGCGTATTATCTACATCGACACTATCAATACGCTTAACAACATTCAGTCTAATAGAATCAGCTAGTCCCAGTAATGGTACTTGACCTTTTACATCAACAATCACAAACAGAATTTTTCTTATGACATCACTAGTCAAGTTACTAGTTTTGCATGGTAATATTACCTCACCAATTGCACTAATCTTAAATTTTGAGCTTCCATATGAAAGCAATGAAATATTAGAATTACTAATGGGTATATTTAAGTCCAAAGATTTAAAAACATGCAATGGTAGTATGCTTATCTCTGCCCCTGTATCGATTTTAAATTCAACAATCTTATCATAAATAAATACCTTTTTTGTCCAACATTTGCCTATTCTATTTTCTTGATTTTCAACTGCTCCTATCAACTTGATAACAGAATCAACATAAAACTCTGTGTCTTCACTCTCACTTCCACTATGCTCATTCTCACCTTCTTTTTGCATCACTTCATGCACTTGCCTGTCACTATACTGTCTGTTTGTTTTAAAGTTTCTGCCTCGGTTTCTGTTCAAGTCCCTATTGTTCTCCTGTTCATTTGGGCACATCTTGGCAAAATGATTTCTTGCCTGGCACTTTGCACATGTTTTATTATATGCGGGGCACATTCCACTTGCTCGATGGATATACCCACAATATTTGCATGTCTTGGGCTTTGTACCTGTCTGTTCCCCAACTTTGTTTCTTTCATACTTTATTGCATTAACTTGCGTTTCAGTTTGAAGAGTTTTAGCCTGATTTTTACTCGCCTCTATAGCCCTGCAAAAGTCTATACACTTTGTCAAAGTTAAATTTGCCTCTCTTAAAAGCCTTTCCTGGGTGCCTTTATCGAGAATCCCAATTACTATTCTGTCACGAATCATATCATCAGAATCTTTATATTCTGTAGTTTTAACAGCCCTGCGTAACTCTGTTAAAAAGTTATCGAACGTTTGTCCATCTTTCTGGATTAATGAATTAAACTTGTATCTCTCAAATATTAGATTCTTTTTGGGGGCACAGTATTCTTCAAATTTCTGCCTGACTTTATCTAGCTTTTTCTCATCACCTGTGGCAAAAGTGAAACTGTTAAAAAGTTCAAGGCCTTCATCTCCCAAAAGATTCAGGAACACAGCTACCTTTTTTTCTTCTTCTTTTGATGCAAAATCAGTTGCGAGCATGAACAAATCAAACTTTTGTGAGAAGCGCTTCCAATTATCAGACACATTGCCATCAAGAACTAGGGGCTCCGGTGGTTTAAAAATGCCTTCCATTTTGTGCTGAATAGTCAAGAATTCCACACAGTGAAATAATTTGTTTCAGGCTCCTAACCTCAACTACAAGCACAAACAAACGGAATTTTCACTAGCTAGCACAGTAAACCTTTCCACACCTGACACCATGTAAAATACTTAGGTTTAATGATTAAAACAAGCACAATTAATTAAGTATTTTATTATCAAAACATCCAGCTTCTCAGTAGTAGGAACAACACTCCCGCGCACCAGCTGGTTCAGGTTGCCAGTTGCCCGTCCGACAGTTTACATCTTTTTTGTAGGTCATCTATTAAACCAGCATTTGGATATTATGGATAGGCAACCAACATAACATGTGGTTGGCCTACGCTGTTAATATACTATATTAAACACAAAGTGACGTGATGGATACCTACCACTCGAATTTGAGCGGTATGTTGCGGTTTGTTAAACCGGAGCCACGTGAAAAGGGTTAATGGTTTTCGCCGTAACTACTACTACTATTACAGGATAGCTTATCATCATAAAGCCTGTGTATATCAAATCTCAAGCCCCTTCACCACGCCAAAGAACCACTGATTACGTAGGCAGCGTGTCGTTTCTCGCCTTGACGTAGGGTTTGTTTTCACCACAGGTTATGATCCCATGATAAAAATTTTCAACACAAATGTATATTCTAAACTACGACCGCTGGCACAAACAGCTGACGACGACGACGTAGTTGATGATGATGTTGTCAATAGTGTTACACCATATGGCCACAATTTCCACAAATGAGGCCGATAAGCAATCCTGTGTAGTAGTGTGTGTTATCGTATTATCCTTGCATTTGCACTCTTTCAAAACGAAAAACTTCCTCTGGGTAAACGTCAAACATTATTGCATACATTTAGGAGTTTTCGGAAACACTTACTCGATTTCGCCTACCTACGCATGTTGCGTTTTAAAGGTAGGGCATGATTATTTGAAAGTAGGGCATTGCCCCTCAATACCCCCCCTGGCTACGGCCCTGATGGAGAACCATACGAAAATATACAAAACTGTTTGATTATTCAAAAACTGTACCTGCATAGGAAACTGTATGATATTCAAAAAATGTATATACCTTTAAAGTATAACCATTAACAATTGAAAATCGCATCTCTATGGTGACTACTCAAAATTAGAAAAATACCCCTTATAATAATATAAAATAATTTTTATATTTTTATGCCAAGTCCTGGTACACTATAACAAAGACGCCGCACGCCGGCAAAAAAACTTGAAAATTGTTGGGGACGCCGCTAGGCTTTGTCGCTTGCCGACAAAGCTAAGCCGCTCTTGTTGACAGTGTGAGATATTCTCTTTAGAAGTGGACAAAAGTATAAAATTACACAGATAATTGAATGAAAATCAATTTCAAATTTGAATTTTTAATAAAGGAATAATAGTCCCATTCCAATATTTATATTTGATTTATTTCAATAGTTTAAAACGGAATTTTAAGGATTACCTACTATATGAATTTTGCCCATTTATTTAACGTATTAACTCCACTGTATTCTAGAGGTAAATCAGCTAGAATTTCGGGGCAATGGCGTTCGTCATTTCAGTTTTTATAGAAATATCTGAAGTATGTTTATTCTTTATTAACCAATTTGTTTTCATTTGTCATGATAATAATATTTAGACGCCTATGGATTCCCACGTGACTTCAAAGAGATCAACTGAGCCGCCTTTTTTATGAAATTTCAATTAATAATGGTTAAACTTTACCAAGGAAGTGCAAAAGATGTGAGTAAAGGTGCAACACCGGTTCTAGCACAAAATCAGTCATTTTCCCATGTGAATCTCCATAAGAAAATCTAAGGTCCGTTCTGGCAATTTTCGTACCATTTTGAAGTGGGGGTAAAATTTCTAGGAATAACCCCTTCCCAATAAACATTTTTGTTTGTATAATACTCACCGTAAATGTTATATCACCTATCTTAAATAACCTACAGTTATATATTTGGTAACAGAAACGTTTCTGTTACTCTTATGAACCCCTTAAAGAGCTTAAACGGGGCATTTATATAAGTTGCGAAAACCTTTGTTTAGTAACACGCTATATAAATTTAGGTCATGTAACCTAGAGTAACAGAAATATTGTAGTAACCTTTATATAACTTTCTAAATATGTCACCTGTCAATTATAAAAAAAAAGAAGGTTTATTTCTCTCTCTATCGAACATATTTTATTCACAATGATATGGCCTTTTTCTACTTCTGAAATATTATCATTCAGTAGTTGGAGGATTGGACTTAGAAAATAAAAATGGAGAGCGAATTATTATAAAATACGGCCTTGTTTGTTAAATCAATTTTAGGCTCTTCCGTGACTCAAAATGTAGGTGGAAATGGTGGGAATCATGAGGTAATTAGGCTTGAAATAAAGCCAATTGAATCGTCTATAAATCTTTAGTGAATAAACTCAATCACAAATGCCAAAGTCCTCAAAAATTCCTCCAAACTGCTCGCAAATTGCCTGCAAATCCTTAAAATTATTCGTGATAAGAAATGTGTTTTTCAATTTTTATTACGCTCAGTATTAAAACCAATAAATTCCCTCGATTTCTTATACATTCCTCTAATTTCCCATAAATTTCTTTAAATTTTTCTAAATTTCCCACAAATTCCTCTAATTAATTCCCACAGTTTTGGCAAAAAGTTCTTAGCTGGTTTGCACACATATCACACAAATTTCCAAAAAGGCTAATTCAATGTTCTATCTACCTCTTTCACGCAGCCTTTAAAGCCCTATCAAAATAAATGCTTTTGAAACTTCACAAGTCGTATGTTAAAGACCAACACTTGAATATGTCCAAACTATATAGAGCTCATAATAAGTCAGAGATGTATAGGGCAGATGGAGATTTCAAAGAAGAATAACCAGATTAGGTACTGCAAGAACTTAAAGATCTGTCTTATGAGGAAAGGCTTGTAAAATTAGACCTCACAACTTTAAGGGACAGGATATCACGAGGTGATCTCATTGAAACACATAAAATACTCAATGATAACTACTATGCCTGTAATCTCAGAGACATCTTCCACCTTAGTCACAACAGAAATGAGGTCATGATCAAAAGCTCTGTCTGAAGAAAAATGCAATAAATAAGCTCCTGCTGAGAAATTTACTTACCACTAGTATAGGGTTTGTTCCAACACGTCAAAAACTGTCCCATGAACGGTTTCGAAACCACTCTGTATAGGAATCTAGGGTTCTAAGCACAGAATGGTGACACAATGTACGGTTTCTTGATGAGTTGGAACAAAGCTATAGTCTACGCCTGAGTGTTGACACCATTAACTTCACCTCCAGAAATCAATTCAAAAATCACCTCGACCAGGAATTGGGAAGAAGAACAGAACTAAGATTGTAGAAGCTGTCTAACCAAATACTGGAAATCCCATAGGTTTTTTAAAAACTGCCTACTGCTGTTAACAATAATAATAATAATTATTCACAACAGTTTGTTTAAAAGAGGGTTTTAGTAATAAAAAATAAAATAACAAGGTTTTTTAACACATAAATTATTTATTTTCAATAGAGTTTTTGGAAATACATTATTTGGCTTAATATAACTTTCCGTGTTTTTTTTTTCCGGCAATGGAACTTGCCCTTCTATTTTTTTTTTGTTTGTTTTGTTTTACTATACATCCTAGGTCAAAGCTACTTTTTTTTCAAATTAATTTATATCGTATTTATATTAATTTATATAAAAACAAACAACATACGAAAAGTCCTAAAAGCTTTTCACTATTTTTTTTTTCTTTTTTTATAATGTGTTTTTAATAAATCTTTTTTGTTAATAGTTTAATAGGATCAGCAAAAGCAAATTTTTTGTTAACTAAATAATGTTTGTATCATATCTGATCCTTAATTTAATTTTTTCTTCGAGGAAACCTTGCATTATATAAGTCTATAAATCTCAAATGAGACGAGAAAATTTATTTAACCAAAAGTGCCGCTCATTATTTAAGTTTTAAGACTTTTAAGCTCTCTTACTTATTTAGAAAAAAACAAATTTAATTATGAAAGACATTCTGCACTAATGAATAAATTAGCGTGTTTTTTTTTTTGTGGAATATCATTTTTTTTTTTTTAATTCAGGATCCATCAGAAAGGAATTGCACTGCAATTGCATTGCAATGCAATCCTCTTCATCTAAATAAAATTCTTTAAGATACATGGACTATTACAAAAAAAGTTACTTAAAAAGAGATCTAAAACACTTACTAACATAGCAGGTTAATTTTTTTTTCAATTATTTTATCCTATTACTAAGCTCACATTAATAAATATCTAAATATTACATAATTTTATTTTATTTAATATTTACTTTTCTTCAACAATATAATACATTTCTTTGAAACGTATTTTCTTTTTAGAATGTGTCTCTCTATTTTTTAATGGCAATTAATATTCTATTTTCTTTATATTATAATCTCAATTATTAATTTATTTTACACATTTTCTTTTTTTAGTAAAGCATCATTTATAGGGTAGATGCGTTAGAAGAACTTTTTAAAATTCCCTATAAAAAAACATTTAGCTACATTTAAATGGTTGGTTCATCAAATGCATAAAATGCTTGGAGCATAACATAAAAATATTTATAGGCAGGGGAATTTATTGATGTAATTCCTTTTTGTGGGAATATGTAACCCACGTAATTGGCAATTACATCTACAGTACCCCAGAATTAACGAAATTTAGACTTTAAAAATAATAATTAAAAAAAAAAAAAAAAAACGATTCTATCTTAAGCATTATTTATATAATATGATTTCCTTTTTTATATAATATAAATAGATAAATATATGCACAATTGTTCACAAATTAACAACATTAAATTATTAAAGATTGCACAACAGTTTATCACAATACAATTATTTGAACAAAAAAAAAAAACACAAAATTTTTGAAAAATATTTCTTGGCTACTCGTGATAAGTGGATGATAAGAAATGACATTTGAATCTTCTTTTTTAGAAATATCGGAACTTGATTTTTTTTTTTAGTTTCGTTGTACTTGTTCTAGTATTTTTAATGTTCAAAGATATTGCCGGCTTCCAAACATTGGTTTCGAAGAACGTTTCTTTTTTTATGTTTCAGCTAATGCGTAAACTTGACAAATAATATCTTAAATTTGTGGTAGGAAGTCTATAAATTCTTATGGCTAAATTGGATAGTTAATATGAACTTTCTGTCTATGTTAGATTTTAGATTTTCTAAACTATGCATTTTAAGTAAGTATGTAAATTTAGCCAAGATCAGGCTAGTTTGGTTAGTTTTATAAACCAAACAAGCTTATACATGAATGAATAATCTGTAATCAAAATTATTATATTCAATCATCCACTATGGGTTTATAACAAAAGTTTGTGAATAAAATTCTAAATTATTAACACCACTTTTACAATTTTTCACACATCGGTTAAACTAGTATTAATTTTTCTGTGCGTATTACAAGTTGGGTGAACTTTGGGTCACAACTTTTTGTGTTAATGATATTATTATTTCTATATATTTTATCTAACAAAAAATAATAATAACCAACCTCATATTTCACAAACGAAATATTATATTATATACAATTTGATTTAAAATAAAAATAAATTATGTTAATTAAAAAAATACTCTGTTGGTACTTAATACAAAAATAAATAATAAATGCTTAATAAATACAGAGTTTCCTAATATACCAATTAAAAGAAATCCTTATAAAGCATGAAAAATTTGAATTAATTTAGGACCACTCTGTATTATATTACAAATAAATAAAATTGCAACACAATGAAAAGAATACTTTTGGCCTCAACATCTATCATATATCGAGAAAAACCTATACATAGTAATATTTACATAGGCCAAAAACAAGTGAATGACTAGAAATTGTTAGTTTATTAGCATTAAACCTTTCTCTATCCTTTATCAAGGTTTAATATTGCACACAAAGAAAAAAAAATTGCTTTATATGATATAAAGCCTCACACATTTTCATGTTTTTTTTTTTCTAAAAATCGCTGCAGGATTCATTAAAATTGTAATGGAAACTAGTTTCATGGTAATAATAATCCTATAGTGATAATTTGAAAGAAAAAAATGAAATTTTTCTCAATAAGTTTCCTTTTTGCAAATATCAAAACACTGCGTGAACTAAATAATTATATATGAGACTACATGTTCAATGCCTCTATAAACTCTATAATCAAAAAAATATAACATAAATAAACAAATATTATTCTGTTACCCTTTACAAACAATTCCAACAAGTCAAATGGAAATTTAAACTTTCACAATCATCAACTTTTATAAAATAATTTCCAACTTCTAACTTTTTTTATAATCGTATTTTCTTTTTCATCTTTGTATATTTGTAGATATGCCATCTTTATGTAATCATTTGAAATTCTCTAGTTCTCATAACAACTTAACTCAAAATGTAAATACTTACTGTATTTTTAATATAATATAGGGCAAGTCAAGAAGCAAAATATCTCAACTTGCCCAAATATTTTTGTCATATCATATTGCACGTTGTTTCATTTCAAAAATAAGGCAACCAAAGTTTAAAAAAAAAAAACCGATGCCAGTCCAGTTGATCATCATATCAGGGCATTAAAAAGGAGGACATTATTTTTTTTTTACAATCCACCTAATTCCCGTTTTAATGCTAAAAACAAAAACAAGTAAAGATTACTTTAGCGTTTTTAGTCAGTCACTATTCGTGATGGATTGAAGTCTCTGTTTATGATTGAAAAACCTCGGAATTCTTCTTGGTTGATGGATTGTAGTACCTCGTTGCTTACTGGCGTCAAAACTGGATCCTCCCTTGTGAATTCGGCATCGAAGTTAGCCACATCTTTTCTGTTACGCTATTTTACAAATATTATATTAGTATTTGGAATAATGAATCAATTTTAAAGACAATTTGACTTAATTTTTGTGAGGCGTGAGTTATCTGATGGTCATCAGCTGAACATTGAATGTCAAGCCGAGACCTAATAAAAATATAGCAACAACCATTAGTTAGTCAGTGATTAAATTTTAATTGGTTATTATTGCTCTCATTTTTTAAAAACAACTCTCGTCGTTCCTATAAATTACTTGGCGCAGTCGGAGCAGATTTCCGGGAATTGATACGAATCGATCGATCAATTTTTCATCGCAGCGATTCACCGGAAAGAACAACTTTCAATTGTTAGTGGACGGTTTTGAAGCAGAGTGGATTTTTCTCCAAACATTAAATGTAATGGGAAATTTTGACAAGAAACTTGTTGTTCATGAAATGAGATTGTTGACCTTAAATGCTGAAATTTTGAATCAGGGTTTCAATCATAACGCCTGAATGCACCGTTTGTTCATTCTAATCCTATAGTTCCCCAATCCCGTTTTTGTAAACTTTGGCCTATAGCTATGCACCTTCAAGCGGATTAACTATTCCGGAGTGGAAGTGTGGCAACGTTGGCATCCCAATATTGTCAGTTTCGAATTTCAATTTTTACTTGATTTTCATTATTTTCTGAAAATATTCAAATTGACTGATGAAAACACCAAAAGAATCCCCCCAACTTTCCCCCGGGAGAAAGGCAGAGTCCCATGAAAATACTTTCAAAATTCGCTAATATCATTGAAGACAAAAATGCAAAGTTTCCAATGTCGGAAAGTCTCGAGCTTAGAATCGATTAACAGAAAAATTCAACAGCACTACACCTATATACTCTCCTATATGGCAGAGGATAGGTGCAGTGCTGCTAGAAAGGTTAGATACTAGCTATTATCCGTAGATGTTATACCACTACCCACTACACCTCATATCGCCAAACAAGTGCTTATGTAGCGGGGCCATTCCCCGTAGAATAAGTTGGATTTGAAAAAGGTGCATGAGGTGGGGTAATCTAGCTAGTCAACTTATTAACAGAAAGACATACTTTCTTCTATCAAGTAACAAATCATTTTGGAATTTAATTTCTTCTATGTTCTCCAGGAAGTTGGGATCTGTAGGTTTCGTAAGACGAAATCTTCGAAAAAACGAGTGATAATAGTCCATATTGTCGAAATAATCACTTCTTTCGTAGACTATAATAGACTCTGCGAGAAAACCCAAAGTTTATGATATTATAGAGGATATTATCTAATCTAGATCATGATCTATACATAAAGTCTGTTTTTTTTTTAAGATAATTCCCTAAGTCAAAATTTTTAGTAACTATGTTGGCAACACAAGCCTTTTTTCTACATAAAAAATTTGAAAGCATTGACAATTTTACATTGTATTGCCAACATAATGTCATTTTGACTTTTATCTTTAAAAAAAAAAACACATTTTATTAAACAATTTTACACCAAAATAATGAAAAAATTGTAAAAGAAACTTCAAAATCGGTGACAAAAAATACTTTCAGGTTAGACACTGTTCCGCCAAAGATTGTTCCGCTAATCCAGGCATCGTTGACCGATTAGATAATTTGAAGCTTAAACCGAATTTTTTTTGCGGTGCATAAGAAAACTGTATCTAATCCAGGTTTTCATAATTAATCCTCGAAATTAGCTTACTGTGCATACCTGAGTTCGAAATTATTGTAAGGTTTTTATAAAAATATAGTTGGTATAGTCGTATTCACGATAGAGTTTGAATTTTGACCGTTATTTTCACCAGCTGAAAGTAAATAAAATCCCTAGATCTGTCCCTTTTTCTGTCAACCATCAAATAACGATACATGATATTTCAATTTGACATATAAAATTATCAGATTCGGATCTTAGAATTTTGAATTTCGAATTTTTGCGCGAAATCGTTTGAGTTTATTGCCGTTTTCTGCATTATTTTTTGATATTTTGTTATATTCTCAATCGGTTTTTTGGTTTTTTATGTAGTGTTCTGTACCTAAACCTGGTTTTAGTTCGGATTTAAGTGTTTTGTCTTTTTATAAGTGTTCACTTTGGACTCTTTCAAGACTTATCAGGTTTACTTTATCTTCTTCAGGTAAGTTAAACCTAATACTTACAAAATATTACGATTTTAAAAGTGCCGTTTTCTTATTAGCGATGACAGAAAAGTCCTCGCAGAAGTTCGATCGTACCAGGGTCCTGGAGACTTTGCCCTGTTCCAGCATCTCAGATGATTTGCTTGATGCTTCTTCTTTACGAGACGAATCTTTTTTTTTCCAAGCAAGAGGGAAAGTGACAAGGTAGTGTTTTCTAATTTAGTAAAAATAAGCAAATAATCCTTTTGTAGAGACCAATAATTTATGGGAACCCTATGGCTCAGCAATTTATACAACTCGTATACAACCATTTCAAGGTGTCTCATGAAGATCAAAATCCCATAACTGTAAGTTAATTACAATAAAGTTATTGTTGATTGATCATAGAAACGTTTTCGTCCTAATCTCAGTAAATGTAGCTACAAGTTTTGGAAGGGGATATTTTCGAAGCGAGTGGCTTTTGTTAATTTTTAATAAATAAATTGTAATTTACTGTTCCATTACCTTTCTAGGAGACAGCTAAGGTTTTGAAACTAAGTGAGACCACTGTCTATAAATATAAGGATGGTTCAGTTGAGTCTGAAAGTACCCCTGTCACGCGGAAGCGTTAAGCCGGGGACACATCTATCATGCATCCTTCCGATCCGACTCCGATCATACAATGAGGGTCCTTATTCTTGGACAACAGGAAGCAGCGTTCCCAGGAGAACGAGTGTTCCGCTTCTCCCCTGTTCCAAGAATAGGGACCTTGATTGTATGATCGGAGTCGGATCGGAAGAATGCATGATAGATGTGTCCCTGGCTTAAGAAGTTGCAGACAATTGATTCAAGTGAAAGCGCCAAACAGACTATTCGATTAGAGATATACAAAATGAATACAGAGAGTAAGTTGATGTTCTACTTTGAACATAGAGTTGTTTCAATGTTACTTCATATTAACATTACCCAGTAGATTATTCAAAAAGAATACACCTGATAACATTGGAACTTCTCAGATCAAATTAAGATGTTTTTCATAGTTTAATACTATTTTTTATTTCAGGTCAACACAAATTAAGATGCTGCTAGGATTTCTTTCATTCCATAATTTCATGACATTTTTTAGAATTGTTTTCTTGCTTTTCAATATAGGTACCTGAGTTATTGGAGTCTTTCATAAGAATAAGTATTCATATTTCCCTCTTTGACGTACCTACACAGTTTTGGTTCAGATATTTGCAGAGCTTCTGTACCTTCTGCTGCATGCTTTATCTTGTGTGTTGGGTTTATTGTTGTTCAGATAATAGCATTTTGTGTTGTCATATTTCCTAGTGGACTTTGGTACCTCTAAACATGGTATCACTAATTAAACTTCCTATTCAATGTATCATCTAGTATTATGCTTGTATAAATTATTTAGAGGGGTAATGTCCCATTTGTCGCCTACCTCTCTGTTATTCTTCCTTTTTTATATAATTTAGCAGTTTTTGGTAAAAAACCCATTACTACACAGGTAATTGATTAATTAATAGTTAAATTTAATTATGCACGTCCACTTGTGTCAGTTCTCTCTTGTGTGTGATGTTTGTACCTGCGACGAAGCAGCACTGGTGATGACTTGAGGCCGGAAGCACTCGGCGGATTTTCTTAGTAAATTATTACACAGAATGCATACTCCTCCCTTCTTCAATTATAAGTTCAAGCCATTTCACAAACTAGACTGGGTAATTTTAGTTCATTTTTGGGTAGTAGTCTTTTTGTTATAGGGACTGGTGTTAAATAGTTACGTTATAATGGTGCCACCAGCAAATTCCATAAGAATACACTCGGTGTCATTATTGACGAAAGTCTCAAAGCTAATTGAACAAGATATACTAACTAAAATCAGTAATATTTGCTGTTGCTACAGTACCTACTACAATATTTAAACAAGCATTTTTCGTTTTTAGAATTGCATGTTACCCCTACGACTGTAAGTGATAGGCTGAAAGAAAGGGAAATTTATTACGGTTCCCAGTCAAGTTTAGGCAGGGTTTTGCCCACATTAGGATTTACCTTTAAAAAGGATGATCCAAGAAGAGCCCTCATGGAAAAGCCTGATGTAAGCCACATGAGAAGAGTTTTTGGGTAGAAATTTTAGTACTGTATAGTTTTATTACTGGAAAATTTAAGTAGAAATTTTAGTACTGTATATTATTATTGGAAAAATTTGGGTTCTATTATTTAAAATTAAATATACATATAATATGTGTGCAAATACTGAAGTTGTTTCTCTCTTTTGCAAGTAAACCCCCTCCACCATTTAATTCTGTAGCTACCCAAGGAAATAACTAACATCAATAAACCGCTCGCATATACCATCTAACCTTTAAAAATCAACAGAGTACTTGGGCCAATACTTGGGCGGCCAGCTACAGCAACAACTATTAGAAAGTATTACGTTTGTTCTATTACAGATGTTTAATATCATTAAGCAGAAGTTTAATAATAACTTAACTTAAAAATAAATTTTTATTCTGGAATGTAATCATTTTTCTAAATACGACCCTGTCGTTTATCCCAGCTGACGGAATGAAAACGCTTACGCATGCTGGCAACCTAAAGAAAAAGTTACTAGATATGTCAATACGAACTGTCAACTTCACTTTCTATCCTGATTACGACTATATACATAAAATCTGTTTTTTTTTTAAAGATAAAAGTCAAAATGACTTTATGTTGGCAATACAATGTAAAATTGTCAATGCTTCATTTTTTTATGGAGAAAAGGCTTGTGTTGCCAACATAGTTACTAAATTTTTGACTTGGGGAATTATCTTTAAAAAAAAACAAACTTTAAAGTCTGTTTTTTTTTAAAGATAATTCCCCAAGTCAAAAATTAAGTAACTATGTTGGCAACACAAGGCTTTTCTATGTACATAAAAAATTTGAAAGCATTGACAATTTTATATTGTATTGCCAACATAATGTCATTTTAACTTTTATCTTTAAAAAAAAAAACAAACTTTATGTACAGTCGTGAGAGTCGTGAGCATAAAAAGTGGGACACCGGACTGACAATCAAAGAACCGAATGTCGTGCATTCAAAAAAAAAAAATAATCTACATTTGCCAAAATTGGACGAAGCCTGTAATAATCCTAGTAGGTACTTCAGGTACTCCTTCTCAATGTCTCAAATGATTTTGAGTGCGCCCCAAAAAATTCTTTTTATACAGGGTTCCAACTATTTCATAGGGACAGTATTGCTATCTCGAGAACGGTTAAAGTTACGAGGGCGTTTAAATTAGAAAAAAGTTGCCATTTTTGAAGAATATTAAAAATATATATTCGTTGTTGCCAAATTTCTATTAGTTTCGCAAATACAGGGTGATTTTCGAAAATTTGCAAAACCAATTTTATCAAATATTTTATAATCTATTGATTTTAGAGACATAGTTCAAATTCAAAAGTATTATATAATTAACATTCTTCAAAAATGGCAACTTTTTTCTAATTTAAACGCCCTCGTAACCTCAACCGTTCCCGAGATAGCAATCAATGCTGTCCCTATGAAAAAGTTGGGACCCTGTATAGTAAAAATATTTGTTAACAATCAATCACAATGGATGGTTGATTTAAAAATAAATAATTCAGAGAATTTCATACATCTGTCAAAACTGGTTTTCCAACAATAAATTGACATGTTTTGATTGTCGATTTGAACTAATCAGATTGTAATTACGCGATAATTTGCACTAGTGCAAATTATCAGATAATTGCATACTAACTGGTGCGAAAACTGGTGTTTTGACATTTTTTGACAAAAAATTTAAATTTTTGATTTATGAAATTCTCTCATTAAATACAACTCGTGCAATGGAAATATATTTATAATTTTCGACAAATTTGCACTCATGCGTTTTTAACTGAAAAAGGCACTCGTGCTCTTTTTCAACGAAAAATGCATTCGGGCAAATTTCCCAAAAATTATCAATAATTTCCATTGCACTAGTTATATTACTATTGATTATTCTGTAAATTTTTTGGTAGATACTGGAGCTAATGTAGTATGTCTTCCCAAACAATTTTTGCCTCAATCGGCTATACTTTTACCTTGTAATGACACTATATCAGGTCCGAATGGTGAATCTTTGTGTGTTATGGGTAGAGTATTTATAAATTTATTGGAATATGATACTCAAAAATCTTGCTATATTGAAGCTTATGTCTTAGAAAATCTTAATGTTCCTATTTTGGGCCAATAGCTCAAATACTTTAACTTCTAAAATTAACATTTTATGTGAATTTAAAGATGAGATTTCATTAAAAATTATTCCAGATGCTAAGCCTTTCATCCAATCTACTCCTAGAATTGTTCCACTTCCGTTGTTAGACAAATTAGAGGATGAAATCAATAAACTATTACATTTGAATATAATTGAAGAAGTTAGGGAACCAACCGAATGGGTGTCTCCGATTGTGGTAATACCAAAAGGCGATTCTGTCAGACTTTGTTGTGATTATACAAAGTTGAATAATAGTTATTTATGTATCAAGGGAATTATGAGGGTGTTAATATCCCAGGGCAACGTTTGTGTCCCGAGGGCCTTCGGCCCGGGGGACTCCAATTGCCCGTGGGTATTAACACCTGATAATTCCCGTGGTACATAGATAATTTTATTTCCTACTGAATTTACTGTATTTTGTCCATTTTTAAAAAGAAATAAACCATAAATCAAAATCTCTATTTTTTGTCAAAGTGTTACCTATTCAAGGTAAAACCGGGAGTTATGGAAATCCTTAACTCCCTTGGGAGTTATGATATCCTTAACTCCCTTCCTTAACTCCCTTGGGAGTTATGAAAATCCTTAACTCCCTTGGGAGTTAAGACCCTGTTTATGATTATCGTAACCAAGGTATTATATGGTTTTAATAGTTCAGTAGGATATAAAAGTATTAACTTCTGATGTTTGATCCTTCAAGAGTTAAAATTCAAGGTCAAATATAGGTATATCTCAAAAACGGCTCACTCAAATGTGATCAATATATATATATATATATTTAGATTTTTGTAGTTTATTGGTTTTAGGTCATAATAAAACAGCAGAGAGTTTTATTGTAGATTATAATAAGTTTAACGTTTCGACCATGGTTTGGTCTTTTTCAAAAACTGAAAAGTAGGAAAATACACATACAAAATCATACAAAAATATTTAAAAAATCTTTACCTTAGAAAGTAGATTTATCCAAACATTTAAACACTTTAAAAACATCAATCAACATCACGATATTTTTTTTTAATTTAAAAAGGTTTCACACGTAGGTAAACATATACAAGACAGGACAGTACTGTGTGTGCACGAGTTTATAGTAGACTGGAATATATTTTCGAGAGGTTGTCTATATCAGTCTTATCGTTAATTGCATTTTTGTGTTTTTTTATGCATACCATTTCAAGGAATTCTCTTTTTTTTAAATTAGGTTCAAATGCCAATATTTCAGCATTATTATAGCAGAAGGTGTGATTTTTTGATTTTTCATGGGATGACAAAGCAGTGGAATTTTTTTTATCGTATTTGTGACTCTTTATACGGTTTTCCAGATATTGACTTGTTTGACCAATATACACGGAGTCACAATTTTCGCATGGTATTTTATACACAATATTACTCTTTTTGTTATTAGGGGTTTTTGAAAAACGCGGAACAAAATAATTTATATATATATATATATATATATATATATATATATATATATATATATATATATATATATATATATATATGGAATCAGGAAGAAAGGATTTTTCATTTTATCGCAAAATATACAGGGTGTTCCATTAAAAAAAGTCGAAGTTGTCTACGTTTCTCCATTTTCCGATGCGATTTTATTTTTTCTGATACCATTTAAAGAAAATATAGAAAAAAACTGTCAAGTTTTGTATTTAAAATTTTTTTCCATCTTAAATAGTAAAGGCTGTAGGTATGGGTCCAAATATAATCAAATACCCTGTAATACATTGACTATAATCGAACAATCTCTGTAGTGGGCCAAACACCAACCAATACCCAAGTTTATGGCGCACACTGTATATGAAATTATTGATTCAATTCTGCAAGATATAGAGAATTCTATTACTTTCTCAAAATTAAAAACCTTCCACCCAAGTATAATAAAAGTGAATGACCTTTCTAAAGAATTCAACAAACTGCAAAAAAATATTGGCCCAATCCAATTTGGAAAATATTTTTCTCTTCGAAAATCTAATTGATGTTGAATGCTTTATTCTAAACAACAAAATAACATCTCTTTGCTTGAAGAACCCATAGTCTATTCCAATATTTTCGAATATTTTCACTTATATTCTTTACCAATTTCATACCAGGGTCGATTTAAGGCAGTAATTCCGCGAGATAAATATTTGATAGAAAATCAATCACACTCGTCAAAACCAATAGTCCTTGCGAAGTACAGCTGTTGCAGTTCACCAATATCCCAGCCAACAAATCGATGTCAAAATATCCGAGATAATAATCAATGAACTTGATACGTCCAATAAGTGGATATTCGTTCTTCCAAAAGAAGAGATCGCAATGCTTAAGTGCCAACACTTGAAGCTACACGAAAGCTATTTAATAAACCTACTATTTGGATGCCAAAATGACCAGAAACGATCGCATCATCAAAACTACGCCTCCACGCTTTCCTGTACTTAAGTTGAGTTTTCATTTACAGGAAATTAAATTTGACCAGCTCCACAAAGTAAAAAACAAAATCGATAATCATGAACCTCCGAAATTCATCTCCACAATTCCAAGAACACCCAGTATTTGGACTTTATCCATTTATGTTATTCTAAATAACCATAGTTGATTATATCATGGGCAGACACATAAATGGAATGGAAGAAAGCAAACCACCGCCTGTCCAGAAGCCCATCCGTCAATCTAACTACCCCTAAAGAAGGTGGAGGAGTTATCTGATGATCATCAACTGAGTCAGCAGCATCAAATGTCAAGCCGAGACCTAATATAAATATAGCAACAACCATTGGTTAGTTAGTCAGTAGTTAAATTTTAATTGCTAATTATTGGTCTCATTTAAATTTTTGTAAAATAATTTTTTTTAAAAACAACTCTTGTTGTTCGTATTTGTTATTTCGTGGAATGTTCAATGGGCTTTTTCAAATTTAGTTTTTCTCTTAAATATCCGAGTCAAGGCTTTAAGTAGTTAAAGTAATATCCGATAACTCTGAAAATCTAGCTTATTTAAAACCCCATGGTTTGTAAATGTACGAGTCTATAATCTCAGCTACCAATAAACAAATAAAACGTGGTGCCCAATCAAGGACAATGGACCTTGGCTCGACAAAATCGAATGCGATGACAATATCAATAATTTAAACAGGACATAATAAATATCAGCCTACACCGTAGCTCACAGTCAGTTTGGTTTGGATCGTTACACTGAGCTGAACAAAATATTGCTTAATATTTTATTTAAAAATGGTTCTATCAATGGAGAGATTTCAGGGTAAAGTGGCCGTAGTCACAGGTGCTTCGGCTGGAATTGGAGCTAGTATCGTGGAGGACTTGGTCAAGAATGGAGTTATTGTAAGATAAACAAATTAGCTATTTATACAATAAGTTGCGAAATGAGCGTCTTTTAGGCACGCGACGTGAAAATTGTCCAACGAGGCAAAGCCGAGTTGGACAACACGTCGAGTGACTAAAAGACTTCGTTTCGTAACGTATTGTATACAAGATTTTTTCTACTTGCGTTTCATAATAAAAAAACACTATTTTATTTCAATGTTTGTCACCTGCTTTTGCTTGACATCTTTCATGGTGGTGACTAATATTCATAATAAATACAAAACAAAATTCAAATCTGTGTTTAGTGTGTTTTTTATTTCTGAACAATGAATGACACTTTTAGGCACTAGTGCTTAAAAGTTACTTTTACGCACTTGAAAGTCACTTTTACGCACTTGAAAGTTACTTTTACGCACTTGAAAGTCACTTTTACGCACTGAATGCCTAAAAGTCACTTTTACGCACTGAGTGCTTAAAAGAATGTCATTTCAAAACTAAAATGACAATCGAAAAGTTGCTATTATGAAACGTCAGTAGAAAAAATCTATTTAAATTTCAAAAAAATATATATATGAAAGAAATATTTCTAGGTTGCTGGACTTGCTCGAAGAATCAACCGTGTGGAAGACTTGGCCAAAAAGTTGAGCAACAAAAAAGGTAAACTTCACGCTTTTAAATGTGACATGACCAAGGAGGAGGAGATTAAAGAAGCAATTGGACAAGTTATTGAAAAATTAGGACCAATCCACATTTTGGTTAATAATGCAGGATTGATGCAAGAAGCTACATTAATTAACGGAGATACTCAGGCATGGAAAACAACACTTGGTAAGTACCTGATTTAATGTTAATTGGTGTAATTAAAATGTTTTTTTTTTATATGAAGGTTAAATGGTTTAAAGTGCATTGATAACCATAATTAAGTTTTTAACAGCTACTGAGTGAATAAATTGAATTAAATAAAAAAATTAATTAAAAAATTAATATTTTTTTTCCAGATACGAACATATTGGGTCTCTGTATAGCAACAAGGGAAGTTGTCCAGAATATGAAGGCAAACAATACACTGGGTCACATAATTCACATCAACAGCGTCCTGGGACATAAAATTATGGATTTTCCTGGACTCAACGTGTATCCAGCTACCAAATACGCAGTAACTTGCCTGGCCGGAAGTTTGATGAGCGAACTTAAACATGAAAAGTTGAGGATTAAAGTAACAGTAAGAATCAGTACTGTGTTAGTTATAAAGGGGCTCAACATTTTTCTGATTATTTTTCTAGAGTATCAGCCCTGGCTATGTCAAAACTGAGTTCCAAGCAGTAGCAGGTCTACCCAACGAGACACCAATACCCGCATTATATGGCCCAGATGTGGCCGATGCTGTAATTTATGCGTTGTCAACGCCGCCCCATGTAAATGTAAATTCTCTTCTCCTATGAATTATTGTTTTATAATCCTAAATATTTTCTAATTTTATTTCAGGTCAATGAAGTCACAGTTGAAGCAATCTAAAGTAAAATTTGAAATAGAGCCAATCTAATTCGAATGATTAAGCTTAAATTTGTATCACAGATAAAATAACACAATCCTTAACTCAAAATATATTAAATTGGTCACTGATAACATTATCATTAACGTTTATACAAAAACATAATTGATTATTTGCTTGTTTGTTTTCTATTTAAGGAAATAGTTAATGGTCTAGCCCATAGAGTGATGTTTTGATTATTATAGACACATTCAGCCGCTATATTGGCTTAAAATAATCCCTCTAGGTTGATATTCACCCACTGTCAAAAATTAAGTCAAAATGTGTCTTTTCCATGTACTCAAAATAAATAAATACACAATATAGAGCAAATTCACTTACAATTCTCGGCCTAAACGGCGGTTTAACTTTCCTATTCTCCAACGCATTCCAATCGATATCCTTGAAAAACGGATGGACAAGAATGGCAGCTTCACAGCCCTGATTTACCACGCAACCCAAGCGCCTGTTTGGATTTTTCGTCATGAAGCCTTTTAAAATACTCACCTGAAAAGGACAATTAATACATAGAATGTGTATGGAAAATGTTGTTACTTACAGCTTCCTTGCTCAGCCACACGGGATACAAAACGTCATCGTGTAATATCGATTCGAAGAGGTCGTCTTCGTTATCAGCTTCGAACGGAGGCTGTCCTGCCATCATTTCGTACATGAGGACACCCAGGGCCCACCAATCTACGCTTGCGCCGTATTCGAGTTCCTGAAAAAAAAAACCATAGATATGAGATAGTTTAATGTAGGATCAAATCGAATGTTTAGGTAATAGATTTATCTAGAATGACAGTCTAATGGAATTTTGGCAAAATGAGATTTTGGGATTCGGTCAATTTTTCTGAAAATTTGATATGATGCTACTCTCAACATTCTGATTTAAAGTGTCCATAGGCACAAATTGATCCTATGACTAGTTTTCGAGATACAGTAGGGTGTTAAAGCAGTATTCTTGGGATAACTGAAATTCACTATAAAAAAAAGGGTTTTAGAGCAGAATTCTTTTCAAAATATATTTACTGAAACCTATTATTAATAGACAAAATAGAAAGATCATGCAGTCTATGCTGACATGGAATTTCTCAAGTAATTTTTCAATATTTTTAATTTACTAAATGACATCTTTATAGATAAGTCTATGCGCAACAAAATTGACGAACTTCTCGTATTTTTAGAATGTCAAAATAATCCAGACTTGGTCTTACTAACAGAGCACTGGCTAGAATGTTGGGAACCGTTTTCTTTGGAAGACAACTATATTGTATCACATTATTTAAGGGAAGGTTCTGGTGGGTATGGGGGCACAATAATTTTAATTAAAAAATCATTCTATCTCAATTTCCAATTATAGTCTGTTGACAACTTGTGCATGGAAAGGGAATTTGAATTTTCTGTGGCACTTAACAAAAAAACATAGATTGTACTTAATTTGTATTTATAGAGCTCCAGGTACTAGCGTAACCTGCTTTTTGATTCGCTTGGAATCACTGTTGCTTAGTTTGCCAGCCAATTGCAAAATCATTTTAACAGGTGATCTTAACATAAATTATATTAATAACCAGTGTGCTGGCACAATAGCTCTAAAAGACTTGTTACGCTCCTACGGCCTTATTATGTTTGTCAACTCTCCTACTCGTATAACTGATACATTGGCTACGGTGATTGACGACTTTTGTACAAATTTGAGTCAGGATTCCGTGAGATGTGATGTTATTGCGACGCCTAGGCTTTCAGATCATGAAGCCTTGTTGGCAAGATTTTTTGTAATAAGTCTAAAAATGTTCCTTCTAAATACGGAAGAATATTTTCAAGCAAAAACTTTGGTGAATTTGGTGCTAGGTGCGGTTACGTTGATTAGAATTGTGTAATGCATTCGGAAAGACCACTTGAGGAGTTTCATTTCAGGTTGTACAGCTGTTTTGACGCAAGTTTTCCTCTGCGGAAGATGAGAGCAAGAAAACCCAAAAAAAAATCTTCTTAAAATTTGAAATCTCTTAGCTATATTACGAAATTTACCAAAAACATTGATTTTATTACTTACTTTAACAAATATCGTAAAATATATAGAAAAGTTCTTAAGACTGCAAAGCATAACTACTACCGGAATAGAATGCATGATGCAAGGAATGCTGCTAAAGAAGCTTGGTCTATTGTCAATGACTTGAGAGGTAAAAATAGCCATGCGAGACGGTCAGCTGAGGTTTTTCCAGGTGATTTAAATAAATTTTACTGTTCCATTGCTTTAAAAATTTCTGAAAACTTACCTTCCTCAATAGATTCTTTGACTTACCTCAATCAGGAATATTACGTTAATGAAACGTTTATCTTAAGAGAAACTAATGATGTGGAACTAAAAACTATCATACATAACATCAAAAAAAACAATTCTGCTGGAGTTGATGAGATACCGGCTAAAGTTTTTCGTAATCTGGACGATGGCATACTTTTTGTACTGGCACAATGTATTAATGCATGTTTTGTAATGGGAGAGTTTCCGGAATTCCTGAAGACTGCTCTAGTAATCCCATTACATAAGACAGGTGCCTATACTGATCCTGCAAATTTCAGGCCAATTTCACTACTGAACACATTATCCAAAATTATCAAAAGAATTGTGAAAGAACGTTTGGTAATATTTTTAGATCATCATAATGTAATAGGTAGTTCTCAATATGGTTTCTAGGCGGGTAAGGGCACCACTGATGCTGTTTTTAGCTTTCTCGAGAGCCTGTATTTGAAGCTAAATGAAAGAGAAGTCACAGCTGCGGTTTTCTGCGACTTCTCAAAAGCATTCGACTGTGTTAGACATGATATCTTGCTGAAAAAAATGTCTTATGGAATACGAGGAGTTTCTTATAAATTCTTCGACTCCTACATGTCGAACAGAGGTCAGATGGTTAAAACTAATAATTTAACATCTTCTTTCTTGCCTATTAACACAGGCGTTCCGCAGGGATCTGTGCTTGGCCCATTAAAGGCAAATTTACAGCATTTGCCGATGATGTAACACCCTTCTAGCACCATAGAGATTGTAACATATTAAAGGAGATTGTGTCACATGATTTACGGGAAATTAAATTATGGTGTGATGCAAACTATTTGAGTCTAAATGTTGAAAAAACTAAGATTCTCAGCTTCAAGTTTGTTTTTGATAGCTTGCAGCTGAACAACCACCCATAAATCTTGGTGACAATACCAAGTTTCTTGGATTGAAGATTGACAGCAATTTAAAATTTGATCAACACATTCTTAGCCTAAGCAAAAAGATTTCTTCAGGTGCCTATGCTGTTAGACGCATCCGCTCTGAGCTGGGCACGTCTATGGAAAAAACAACTTACTATGCCCTGGTGGAATCTCATCTGCGCTATGGGTTTCGCTCTGTTTTTGTAATTCAGAAGCGCTGTGTTCGATGCATTTGTGGGATTGCTTTAAGAGAACACCTGCCGCCCAATATTTAAAAAAGAAAACATTTTAACCCTTGTATGTCTTTTTATTTTAGAAACAATCTGTATCATGCATAAAAAATGCACGTTCTTACGCAACTAGAAATTATAACAGGGTACCATTGCCGATACCCAGGTACTCCTTGACTCAAAATTCATTAATTTACAGAAGCGTCAAGATGTTCAATAAACTACCATCAATCCTTACAGACAAATTTTATAAAAAATTCAGGGAGAATGTTAGGCTTTTGTTGATAGAAAAAGCTTACTATGATTTGGATGAATATTTGAGTGACTCATCTTGACCCAATTGGTATTTTCCTGTGATGACCTGGGTATCTAACCTCTGTTATTCGTTAATTTACACTGAAAAAGGCACTCGTGCATTATGTGCACTCGTGCTCTTTTTCAACTAAAAATGCATTCGGGCAAATTTCCCAAAAATTATCAATAATTTCCATTGCACTAGTTATATTACTATTGAAAATACTGGTAACTCAAGTTTTAGAGTCGAAATTGAATTTCAGTCAATAAAAAACACTATGGACTATGTGTCTTGTAAATTTTAAGTTAATAGTTTCGGGAGAAAAAGATCTGTACTTCTTGAAAGGTATGTACCTAACTAAAAATTCAAGTATTTTCGCATGGATTCAAGACTTTTGGTATTAATACTATTGACAATTTAAGCACATAACAAATTATTCAAGCAGTTGCATAATAATTAGACAATTTTGCATTATTAGTAGTACATTCCACTACATATGTTTCAATGTTATAGCAATAGAAGACATGATAACAAAGCTGTGAACCTAGTTGGCTGATCAACATAGCAAACATAAATTGAAAGAATCCAACAAGATACACGAAGGCCATTTAGGTGCATGAAATTTATATTTAATCAGCAGGAAGACTAATTCTTGCTCCACTCGTTGTTTCTATGATTTTTAATGGTTTCTACCAGCATTAAAAGAAAGTCCACTATGCGTCTCAAAAGTGAAAAACTTCAATCTGATGTACCTAGCTGTATCAAATGATGAAAAATCTTAATGTGTACCTACATAATTATAGAAAATTTTGCATCTATGTTTATTTTTCAATATGATATAAGTAAAACAAACCTGTAAAATTTCAGGAGCTATGTAATCCGGCGTACCGCAAAAAGTCGTGGTCGTTACTCCATTGGATATCCCCTCTTTACACATACCGAAATCCGCCAACTTACAATGGCCCTCAGCGTCCAAGAGGATATTATCAAGTTTCAAATCTCTGTACACTACACCGTTTCTGTGCAAAAATTGTAGGGCCAGTGTTACTTCTGCTGCATAAAATCTAAAAAAAATGGGTAAATTGTACAATTTACTACAATGAACCAGTTCTTGTTCTTACCTTGCTCTAGGTTCGTCAAATTTCTTCGCCCTCTGAATCTGAAACATCAAATCTCCACCGTTGACGTACTCCATAACAAAGAACAATCGATCCCTGGTTTGGAAACAAGAATGAATCGCCGTCAAAAAAGGATGCTTCGCAGCCAACGTTAATATTCGTTTTTCAGTCATCGTACAGTCAACATCGTCGTCCTGAATAATAACGTCCTTTTTCAAGACTTTTACGGCGTAAACTTCATCAGTCCCCTTCTTCTCCGCTAACATTACTTTACCAAAACTTCCTTTACCTAACACTTTTATGAAATGAAAATCGTTCAGACCGATGCTATTTTTGCTTCCTGTTTTTTCTTGACTATTATCATCTGAAATAAAATAAACCTCAACAGTAAAATAGAATTGTCAATTTTTCTTTTAGTTACCAATATTGTGCATTTTCTCTTCCATCATTTTTGATAAATTCTCATCGTTACTAGCTTCGTTAACGGGTCCTGTAGAATTGTCACCTCCGCCATCGAGTGGAGCACCATTTCCTGATGCTGGTACCACTTTCGGTCTTCTTATTGGAGTTTTACTATCTGGTGATACACCTAAATAGGATTTGAGATATTTTAAAACATATAAATAACATATGGTTGGTTCTTTATTATGCAAAAACACACCAAAAAATAAGCTCATTGGTTTGCAATAGAAAACGGTTCAATCATGCAATGAAAATACCAAAAATATTGTCCATAATGTGCATCTATGTTGAAAACTAGCAAGAATTTTTCATCAAGTTCATTTTTGGGCTGATAATGCACTTTCAGAGCCAGCATTTCACAGATTTTCTAAAAGTTCTAGAGTTGCGGAGGAATAATTTTTTTTATACAGTTTCAATACTGGGTCAACAAAATGGTTTTAGTATAGAATAAGTGAAAGAATTAACATTTTTAACTATTTTAAAGATATGTGACTTTTATTTCAAACTGCAGGCGATTTTGATGAATGCAACATGCAACATATAAGGATGCTTAGTGATGTTTGTACTTATGTTGTCTTCAAATTTTCGACTATTTCTTCACTGTTATTAAATCTTCTTGAAGTTCTTGATATTGTGTTTTTAAATGAACTTGGTTATTATCTGTAGAAAAATTATTGTTTTTTCCCTGTCATCACATTAACTTGTTTACAAAGTAAAAATTCCTGGTTACGTAGTGGTACTCACTTATCCCTTGGGTTTTCAGTAGAGTGGTGCCATTTTTGTTTATATTCACCTTTTCCATGCATTTAAATTATATGTTAGGCTTATTTGGCAGTAATTGCTAGCTAAGAGCTTATCTTTGAATTAAATTCTTGTGGATTTTTTCTCAAGTAAAGTTCCGCACCTTTTTTCCCAATTTTTTTCCATAGCTTTTGATTGGCTATTTTCTTGTAATTTTAGTCATGCTTCTATAACAGTTTTTGCTATTGCAGGTGCACCTCTAGCGAGACTACCCAAAGCACTAAGTCCAGCATATTATTGACATTTTTCATAAGTCTAACCAAGTTCCACCATTGAAATATTTTTCTATTATGAGACCTTATGCTGTACTCAGAACATTCCAGAAGAAAAATTACGGGGCCCAGCTCAGAATCACTTTTTAAGTTCTTTAAAGCTTGTTCTATACTTTGATGAATAGTATTGTATATTACACTGGTGTTATTTCAGGGTTGGCAAAAATCCGGCTAATTGTATTATACTGGATAAAGAATTGGATTTTTGATGTTTTTAGTGGATATTTGTGTTTTTGATATAGGTACCGAGTGATGGTCTATATTTTGCACTCCCACCTGTTGGAAGAGGAATGTTAGTATGAATTCAATCCTATGTACAGTTTTTGAATAATCATACAGTTTTGTATATTTTCGTATGGTTCTCCATTAGTAGGTCGTACGAGTGTACGCCACTGATATTTTCCTGTTTCTGACTACCTCCTCAACCTTTCCATGTTAGTATGAATGCAATCCTATGTACAGTTTTTGAATAATCATACAGTTTCCTACGTACAGTTTTTGAATAATCATACAGTTTTGTATATTTTCGTATGATTCTTTATTCTTAGGTCCATCGAATGTACGCCACTGGTATTTTCCTGTTTAGTTGTAAAGTCATTGGTTGTAAATATTCAGGCCTATGATGTATCCTCTCCTGTTATTTTAACAGTTGTGTTATTGCTCAAAATCTATACCTATCACTATTTTTATGTGTAGAATAAACAGTGACAGATAACTTAACGTTGCTGTTAAAATAACCGAAAATGATACATCATAGGCCTGATTAGAAAGCTTTTAGAAGTGAGTTTCAAAAGTATACGGGGTGAGTCACAAAAGTGTGGCAATGCAAACTTAAATTTTCTTGAATGGATCATACCTCGTATATTATTGACCCATTGGATTAGCTTTTCAAACTTGATTCCAAATATGTATAAAGCCTGTTTTTTTTTAAAGATAAAAGTCAAAATGACATTATGTTGGCAATACAATGTAAAATTGTCAATGCTTTCAAATTTTTTGTGTAGAAAAGGCTTATGCTGCCAACATAGTTACTAAATTTTTGACTTGGGGAATTATCTTTAAAAAAAACAGGCTTTACTAGGTTTTTTTAGGTTTAGTCCTGATAGTCCAGGAGAAAATAAGAAAAAAAGGGGTAGAATAATTGCATTTTTATTGAAAAAGGTGAAGTATAAAGGCCACCAGCAAAATGAAGGTAATCATTCAAGTAAAGGCGAGTTTAAAAAACTTCATAACTTCAATTTAGTGCACAAGATTTAAAGTTAAATTTATTAATTTCTATGGAAGCGTTTATACATCTATTTAATGCTCAATTCATAATTTAGTTCATAATGGATAACCTTAAAAGTTCCCAACTTTTAACTTTTATGCATTAAATTATGAAAAAACTGGACTTTTCGAGTTCTGCCAGTGTCAAATTTCAGAATATTGATGAAATTTCAAAAATTATGTATTAAATTGTGAAGTTGTTTAAACTGGGGTTTTGAGTTATGTATTAAATTAGGCATTAAATTATGAAAAAATTACGACTTAAATTTATAAAAAGTTGTTTAAATCCGCCTTGAAAAATCCATATTATTTCTTCAAAATGAGATATTCAGAGGCTGGACTATGAGGAATAAACCCAAAACACCTAGAATATTTGGAATCAGGTTTGAAAAGGCTAATCCAATAGGTCAATGATATACAGGGTTTTCCATTTAAATGCTTTGTCACACTTCTGTGACCCACCCTGTATACTTGTAACTAACTTCATTGCAAAGTATCTGATAGGTACCTACAACTATCACATTTGACATTTCTAGACATCTCGTCAAACAGGTGAGATAGGTATGGGTGCAAAACAAAATATAGACAATCACCTGGTTCCTTATGTATTAAAACCCCAGAGGATTAAAACTGAGATTAAAACCTAACATTTTCGAACAGATAACTACAGAAGTATGAGAAATTTGGAAGATTCCTGATAACTTCTAGACAATTCCAGTGCTTCAGAACCATTAGGGAATCAATTAAAATCGTTGGAAAGCATTTAGAAAACCTTCAGAATGCGCTAGCTCCAAGTTACAACATTTTCAAGCATTTTAAAATGCTCTAGAGCTATTCAGAACTTTGATAAGCTTCAGAAGGCTTCCAATTCAATTTTCAATCCTCCTGCATTTGTTTGAGACAAATTGGAATCTTAAAAAACATTGTAAAACGGTATAGAACGCTTTACAACAAATTTAGAATTTCAAAAACATACTGGAACAGATCAGAACACTTCTGAACTTTCGGCAACATTTTGGAAAGCTTGTGGAACACTTTACAACACTTTATTTAACAATCTAGAACTGAAAACTTTCAGAATATTTGGAAAATCGTCACACGTCACTTTAGAATTAACTTTTAACTTCCATGAGCATATTAAAACACTCTAAAACACTTCTGAATTTCAATTAGAGGTATCAAAAAGCGCTGAAGAATATTTGGAAGATTTCTGATAGGTTCTAGAACATCCTGGCGCTCCAAGAGCATTAAACAAGCAACATTGGAACCTTTAGAAAGCATTTTGAAAAGCTTCATAATGCGCTCGTGACCATTTGGAACATTTTCAAGCATTTTGAGTCGCTCTAGAGCACTTTAGAACAAATTTAGAACTTTGACAAGCTTCAGAACACTTTCAATTCAATTTAAAATCCTCCTGCATTTGTTTGATACAAATTGAAATTGTCAGGAATATTGTAAATTGCTACAGAATGCTTTAGAATCAAATTAGAATTTCAGAAACATTCTAGGACGGACCAGAACACTTCCGAACTTTTGGGAACATTTAAGGAAGCTTGATATACTTTAAAGTTCAGGTTTAGATCCAAATTAAAATTTTCAGGAGTATTTAGGAATGCTCTAGAACACCTTTCAAATCATATAGAACTTTTGGAAATAATCTAGTGAAACTTTCAGAATATCTCGAAAATCGTCACATGACACCTTGGAACTAACTTAAAACTTTCATGAACATATTAGAACACTTCTGGAACAGGTTTCAATCCTTAGATTTACAATTAGAAGTATCAAAGAACGTTTAGGAATATCAGAAATTTCTGATACTTCTAGAACATTCCGGCGGTTCAAGAGCATTAGTTATGGATTTCAGAATTTTATTTTAATTTTCTCTATGTGAAAGGAGAATTTTTGAAAAACGGTTTTGTACTTGTCCTTTATTGAACATTTGTAGGGAAATTCTGTTTTTCTTTTGTGAAGAGTTTGTGTGTGTCAATACAGAAATTTTTGTTTTGTTTTTCCTCTTGCAGGTATACAATATTTATAAGTAGGATTCTACTGTCGATATTTGTGTTAATTTATATGGAAATATCAATCAAAAATCCATCCAAAAACCAAATATAGTAGAGAAAAATGTTTGCCAACCCTGTGTTATTTTCCGCTCCAGCTGGATAGAATTTGTTAATAATGGTAAGGCTTCATTTGTGTCGTCTGTAGTAAAAGATTTGGGACCCATTTGAAAGTTATCCTGAATAATGTTTTCCAGTATTAACCTTTAGTGTAAATGAAGATATCTTTGTTGAAAGTCCCTGCTAACATTTAAGAACTGTTTATTAGATTTACTGATTAACTCTTTGCAATTTCTTGTTCAATACATTTTTCGGGGTCTCTGGATAATAGTTCTTATTTTGATATAGGTCCCAAAATTTAGGTTTTTTATCAAAGATTTCCAGGCTCTAAAGAATGATTTTCATACTTGTTAGAGGAATAAATTCGTCTACTATAGCATACCTGTGTAACAATCAAACTTTTTCGTTGCATGTTGGTTCTAAGGTTCTGATCTTCTAAATACCCAAGTACTGGTTCATTGCTTAAAACTTTATGAGGAGGAGAAGGAAAAGACTTTGTACTTTGTGCAAATTGTATTTATAAAAATTAGTGCAGAGCGCTTTCGGCCCTAGGCCATCTTCAGTGCCACCTGGAAGTAAGGAGGAGACCAAGTCTGATAAATATGGTAAAATGTTTTCCTACTTACTCCGTCAGTTGGAGTACATATAGAGTCGACACCCAACGGAGGACGCCACATTAGACAAATTGCAACTGTTAAAACACTTCCTTACTTCCAGGTGGCACTGAAGATGGCCTAGGGCCGAAAGCACTCTGCACTAATTTTTATAAATACAATCTGCACAAAGTACAAAGTCTTTTCATTCTCCTCCTCAACTTTAAAGCGTGCACACAGCCGGCAACCTTCAATTCTAAAACTTTATCTGCAGAATTGGGAATAAAGCTAACTTGCATTTTGACCAAGGTTGCTACATGATCGCTCTTTCCTATTGGTGGTTCACTGGTTTTTGATTATCTTGATGCTCCATTTTTTATGTGGCATAATAAAACTTGGAAAGCAAATAACAAACAGAAATAAGTAACAAACAGCATGCAAATTTTCTTCTTAAATTAAGACTGCAATCGATTTGATAATAATTTAAAAAAAATAAAACAAAACAAAAACATACCATGCAAAAATACAGTAATTGGACTAAGCCACGGACTAAGCACAGGCAAAGGTTCAGGTTCGGGTTCTGGATTTTTACCTATAGCCGATAGTATTTCTGCCATTTGTTTCGTATTGATGCCGCAATTGTTGGCGACATTTTTCTGGCACCGTTTGTGCACGTTCAGCGAGCAGGCCTCGCACTGTAGGCCTTGTCTGATCAGGCCGTAGAGCAGCGAACCGCAATGGTCGCAAAACGTGAACCTTTTGTAGTTGTGCACGACGAAACGGTGCGGTATGTTCACGTTGAAACCTGTACTTTGTTGAGGCTGGAAAAATTAATTTGAATCTAATTATTTGATTGGGGATAATGCTAGAAAATAATCCTAAGAATCAGACCAACTGACACAAGTCCATCTTATGGCAAGGTTTCTCAAAAGTTTTATCCAGGCTATTTTGGTTTCCATTCGTTGAAATTTGGTTTCGTGAAAGATGTTTGCTAAGAAGCCAAACCGCCACAAAACTCGTGATTTCAGAAACTCACCAGCACACACAAAAATCATTAAAAAGCAATTTTTAACAACTTTTTTACAAATTGGAAGTTAGACTGTCTTACCTCACTGAGGTTTTCTAATGTATTTCAAAAAGTTTCATCTTCTTACAAGCCCTCATAAAACCTATCATCATATTTTTACCTCAATGACATAAAACAAAGGTAAAAAAGCATATTTGTCAAAAAAAAAAATGTCTGACGATGAAGACGAAAGTGTTATTGCTGGAGAAGGTGGAGAAGCGGGAGCGGAAAAGTACCCGTTTGGAGAATACACGGGTACCAGAGATGAACATGGAGACCGGCACGGTAAAGGATACGCTATATTACCAAACGGGGACATTTACGAAGGAGAATATTATCATGGAAAGCGACATGGTAAGGGATTGTACTGTTTTAAAAACGGCGCAAGATACGAAGGTTTATGGCGCAAAGGACTCAAACATGGACAAGGCGAGTTTATTTATCCAGACGCATCCAAATACGTAGGAAATTGGAGAAAAGACTTGAAACATGGTCAAGGCAATTATTATTACATAAACGGTGACACTTATCAAGGGTTTTGGTATCAAGGCTTAAGACATGGATTGGGTACTTACACCTACAAGGCTATAAATGTTAATCATTATGGTACATGGAAAAATGGGAGAATGGAAGGGCCAGGAATTATAAATTATCCTTATTACAAGTAATAAATGCTGAAAAACTAGAATAATATATTAACGATTGATTTTTATCAAGGTATCATGGTAGTTTTGAAAAAAACTTGCCAAAAGGCAAGGGTTGTTTTACATTTGATGCAAAATATATGCAACATGGTTTTTACATCAACATGCGAGATCCAGCTTTTGATTATGTTGGAGCTGATGAGGAATTGAAAATTGAAGGATCCAGTGAATCTCCGGGAGAACTTGGCGCACCAATTGGAATAGGTACATACGTAGATGTTGAACCTTTTTAACATATTAATTTTTTTATAATGTAGTTCCAATTTGGAAAGCAAGAGACATAACCGAATACAAAATGGATCTGTTGCCACCAGAGCCTATTTCCTTGCTAGTTAAGGATTCTGAAGAATCGCTGTTGGATATAATTGAATATTTGCAACAGCAGTATGAAGAAGGAAAGCAAGTAGGCGAGGAAGAAGATAGGACTACAACTTCGCCTGTGCCCCAAGATATGTTGGTTGATATTCCTGATATTGATTTTGACGATTTGTAGTTTTAATGTTATTTATGATAAAAAAAATTCACCTACCGTTGCACCCACATCTTCTTTCATGCCAGGGCATTTTGTTAACACAACGTGGTGGCATCTTTTATGGACAACGCAGGTGCAGACTGAAAAATATAATTAATTTTGTGTTTTCAACCCTAGAGGATTTGGTTAATGTGTACAATAATATTAGTAAAAGAAGGCGGAAAGCATCCAAAGAAAATAGTTTTTAATATCTACGTATAACCCAAAACCACCCTTGGTATTAGAATATGATAGAGGAAGCAACTACTCATACAAATCAATAAATTTTTTTTGGATGCTTTTAACAAGTTTAAAAAAAAAATGTGTAGTTAACTTACAAAAAAGAAAAAGCTAAGACAGCCATGCCAGTGCAATGGTGCTGCAAATAAAAAAAAATAATAAAAAATACAAAAAATCAATAAATACAGGAAGAAATAAACTGATATATTTGCGGGTGCAACTGACATTTTGCGTTGCATCATAATAAAATTAATGGATAATTTTATAGCAAAAGCATAATGTTTTGAAAGGTTTTTGGATGATAATAAAAATGTTTTGTCACATTAGTAGGTATAAAATATTTGTATTTACTGATAAAATTCAAAAATCAAACACCTTTATTTTTTTAAATAAAAATAAGCATTAAAGCTGAAATAATAATGAAAGCATGCTTTAGACACATAATCATACCTTGACACTGATAGCCTTGTTTGCCCAAACCCCTGAAAACGAAACCACAAATTATTAACTGAGTGATTTAGTCATTACGTAGAATAATAGTAAACACCCATTTTATCCTAAAATTGCTAATTAGAAACCATTGACCGTGTGCAGATAATTGTGACACACTTTAACAGCCAAATCCATTACTCACCAAATAAATTCTCTACAAAGTGAACAAAAAGTCGGTTGTCTTAAGAATGTGGCCATAAATTTGTGTCCGTTGACTTGATGGACTCTTCGACGCATGGCGCCGCGGCGCCTGTTGAACCCCTGCCTTTCTTTGAATTCCCTGGGTTTGACTCCATATTCTTTAAAAAAAAACATTATTATTACAATACTCAATTTAAAATGAAATTCCAGTAGCTCACCGTTTGGTGTGTTTTTTAGGTCAATCTTTACTCGTAGGCGACCAGTGGGCTCTAAGTTAACCTTAAACAAAAAAAAATTAGTCAGTTGTTGTCAGTAAATTGGAAGCCAGATAAAAAAGCTGAACTTGGAAATACCAAGAAGAGCTTCGTAAATAGATACCTCATTTTCTAAGTTATTACATCAATACCAAAGAAATGGAGGCACAATTTCTGTAGTATTTAATTGCCTGCATAAAAACTTTATTTTCGGCTGATTCATAGACCAATATACTTAAATTCCACAATAATTTTCATCCGTGACTCATATACGCTTTGTAATTGAATATTTGTAAATTTTCCAGTAAAATAAGAAGTGCGCAGTTTCACTGCGAGTTTTCGGCTCTACTGCCTGCAAGCAGTAAATCTAATTTTGGATAATTTTTTCTATCTTAGTTATGATGATTATGAATATACATGGAGCGTCGATTGATAATATCTAGATTTGTATTCGTTAGCATTCTTACACTGGATATATTACATATAAATTTATTGAACAATTTGCACGGAATAAATAATCAACAATAGGTACAAATTTAAGTATATCATCCTGGAAAAGAGGCTTTTTAGGATTTTTTTTTCAAGCTGTGAGAATAACTAAATAGTACAAATAGAAGTGATGATTAGAATGGCAACCTAAACAAGAAGATTTTAAGGGAAAATTTATACCAAATAATCAAAAGGATATCTGGAATAATATAAAATAAATACATTGATGAAAAATAAAACAAAATCAAATTGTATAATTGACCATCTTTGAATTACTTAATATGGAAAACATAAAACATTAATGATAAAAAATTAGTTTGTGAAAATTCAATGATCCTGACTAAAGAAATTGAAGACAGTAAAATTGATGAAATAATTACCAATTTGGAATCAAGTGTTTATGACACAATATCAGTAAAAATAATTAAAACAATCAGGATTGGAATGATTCCAACTTTAAAATATTTGGCAAATCTTCCTCAATTTGTTCAAATTTGTCACATTAGAAGTTCTCAGAAAAAATTAAATGTGGTCTATTTTTTCGAATTCACATTAACTCAATAGGTATCATACTTAAAATTAAATTATTTGTAGATGATATAATTGTTTATTTTGGTCTAAACTTTATAGACAAAATTATATTTGAATGGCTTAATTCGAACAAATTGACCTGAAATTTTAAGAAAGCATCTTTTAATTATGTCACTGGTCATTCATTGATTGTCAAGAATCAATTTACTATACCAATTTTAAACCAATGAAAATATAAAATATAGTAAAAATGTAGAAACACATTAGTGCAGCTAGATCAATTGTTAGTTATGTCTTTATTAGTTAACAGAAACCTTAGATTGTTTCAATGTCAATGATATTGTTTTTGTCTGGCACGATAAGAGGTTATTCTGTGCTAAAAAACAAGGACTTAACAAACGATTGATCTCGCTGCACTTAGCAGGTAAATATCTCGAAAACGAGAACAGATAACGAGATGTGGCTTGTTCTGGGAGAATAAGGATTTATTCATAGGGTTGAAAAATCCTGAAATTTGGTCTTACAGAAATGCGATTTTTTGATATAAAATTACTGCCCTATTTCAATGAAACACCCTGAACACCTATTTTGTCATCGTTAGAAAGCCTGATTTTTCTACTTCACAAAAATGTATAATTTTTTTTAAATTTTCTAGAAATTGCATCTTAAAAATTGCACTTTGTGGAAGAGGGTACCAGCGATATCGACTGGCCAAAAAAAATTGAAAAGTACTTCAAGCAATCAGAGGGACTTCAAACTTTCAGGATTTATAGGGTAGTTTCCTCGTATAAAATAAAAAAACAAACCGCGAGTGGATCTCAGGCTCAGGAATGAAATTATGATTTTTTTCTCACGTAAATGCACAAAAGTCTTGTGAAATCTCTAATAAATCACCTTTTAAAGCTTCTGCAAAATAGGTCTATAAACCTAGCAGTCCCAAGGTGGAAAAAAACTTCGGGAACTATATAATAATTAGGTGCTAATTAGGGCCTCTAATTAAAAATTAGGTGCTCCTTTAGTTTTTGAGAAAATCAAAAAAAAACTAAGGAACTGCTAGGTTTATAAAACCTAGCATATATATAGTAAAAATATTTTTTCAATTTTTTTTTTTGTATCAGAATTAGGAGCTTTTTAGGTGCTAGGTGCTCCTAAATAGTCCCAGAAAAAATAGAATTGATTAATTATTAACTGAGTTACAAATTTTTTTTTTAATTATTAGGGGACTGCTGGCTTTATGTTTACTTGTTGGTGTGTCAGAATGGCAAAAATCTTCGGGATCTATATAATAATTAGGTGCTAATTAGGGCCTCTAATTAAAAATTAGGTGCTCCTCTAGTTTCTGAGAAAATCAAAAAAAACTAAGGGATTGCTAGGTTTATGAAAGCTAGTAGTCCCCTATAGTGAAAAATATTTTTCCAAAAATTTCTTTTGTATCAGAATTAGGTGCTTTTTAGGTACTCCTAAATAGTCAAAGAAAAAATAGAATTGATTAATTATTAACTGAGTTACAGATTTTTTTTTAATGATTAGGGGACTGCTGGCTTTACGTTTACATCTTGGTGTGTTAGAATGGCAACAAAACTTCGGGATCTATATAATAATTAGGTGCTTTTTAGGTGCTAATTAGGGCCTCTAATTAAAAATTAGGTGCTCCTTTAGTTTTTGAGAAAATCAAGAAAAACTAAGAGATTGCTAGGTTTATGAATGCTAGCAGTCCCCTATAGTATTTTTTTTTTGTATCAGAATTAGGTGCTATTTAAGTGCTCCCAAATAGTCGAAAAAAAACTTGAATCAGTTAATTATTAACTGAATTACTTACAGATTTTTTTCATTATTAGGAAATTGTTGGCTTCACTTTTACTTGGTGATGTGTCAGAATAGAAAAAAATTTTCGGGGTCTATATAATAATAATAATTATGTGCTTTTTAGGTGCTGCAAAGGGACTGCTAGGTTAATGGAAACTAGCAGTCCCCTAAAGTAAAAAATATTTTTTCAAATTTTTCGTTTGTATCAGAATTAGGTGCTTTTTAGGTGCTCCTGAATAGTCGAAGAAAAAATTGGAGCGATTGATTATTAACTGAGTTACAGATTTTTTTTTTCATTATTAGGGGACTGCTGGCTTTACGTTTACTAGTGGTGTATCAGAATGGAAAAAAACTCCGAAATCTTTAAAATAATTAGGTGCTTTTTAGGTGCTTATCAGGGTCTCTAATCAAAAATTAGGTGCTCCTTTAGTTTTTGGGGAAATCAAAAAAAACTAAGGGACTGCTAGGTTTATGAAAGCTAGCTGTCGCCTATAATAAAAATATTTTTTCAAATTTTTCTTTTGTATCAGAATTAGGTGCTTTTTAGGTGGTCCTAAATAGTCGAAAAAAAAATAGAATTGATTAATTATTAACCGAGTTACAGATTTTTTTTTTAATTATTAGGGGACTGCTGGCTTTACGTTTACATCTTGGTGTGTCAGAATGGCAACAAAACTTCGGGATCTATATTAATCCTCGAATTAATCAATTCTATTTTTTCTTAAACTAATTAGGAGCACCCGAGGGAGCACCTAGAAAGCACCTAATTCTGATACGAAAGAAAATTTTGGAAAAATATTTTTTACTATAGGGGACTACTAGCTTTCATAAACCTAGCAATCCCTTAGTTTTTTTTGATTTTCTAAAAAACTAGAGGAGCACCTAATTTTTAATTAGAGGCCCCAATTAGCACCTAAAAAGCACCTAATTATTATATAGATCCCCAAGTTTTTTTGCCATTCTGACATACCAACATGTAAACGTAAAGCCAGCAGTCCCCTAATAATTAAAAAAAAAAAGTCTGTAACTCAGTTATTAATTAATCAATTCCATTTTTTCTTCGACTATTTAGGAGCACCTAAAAAGCGCCCAGTTCTGATACAAAAGAAAATTTTGGAAAAATATTTTTCACTATAGGGGACTACTAGCTTTCATAAACCTAGCAATCCCTTAGTTTTTTTTGATTTTCTCAAAAACTAGAGGAGCACCTAATTTTCCATTAGAGGCCCTAATTAGCACCTAAAAAGCACCTAATTCTCGACCTAATTATTATATAGATCCCGAAGTTTTTTTGCCATTCTGACACACCAACAAGTAAACGTAAAGCCAGCAGTCCCCTTATAATGAAAAAAAAATCCGTAACTCAGTTAATAATTAATCAATTCTATTTTTTCTTCAACTATTTAGGAGCACCTAAAAAGCACTAATTCTGATACAAAAGAAAATTTCGAAAAAATATTTTTTACTATAGGGGACTCACTTAGATACAATAAAATCATAATTTTTTTTTATCAAATCAGCATTGGAAGCTTCTGAAAAATACTTCAAGGAATCAGAGAAAATTCAAATTTTCAGGATTTATCGAGTAAGGTCTTTTTATCAAACTGAACCAACTGCGAATGGATCTCAGGGTTAGAAATGGAATTATGAATTTTTTTCTCACTTAAATACAAAAAACCTTGTAAATTTTTTATTGAATCACCTTTAAAAGCTTCTGGAAATACTTCAAGCAATCAGAGGGACTTCAAACTTTCAGAATTTTTGGAATAGGGGTTTTTTATCAAACAGAAGAAACCGCAAATGGATCTCAAGGCCAGAAATGGAATTATGAATTTTTTCTCAGTTAGATTTAGTAAAATTTGAGATAAAATTATACAAAATTTCTATTAAATCACCATTAGAAGCTTCTGAAAAATACTCGGAAAAATACTTCAAGAAATCAGAGGGACTTCAAACTTTCAGGATTTATTGAGTAGGGGTTTTTTATCAAACAGAACAAACCGCGAATGGATCTCAAGGCCAGAAATGGAATTATGAATTTTTTTCTCAGTTAGATGCAATAAAATCATACAAAATTTCTTTTAAATCACTATTGGAAGCTTCTGAAAAACACTTCAAGCAATCAGAAGGACTTCACACTTTCAGGATTAATTGAGTAGGGTCTTTTCTTCAAACAAAACAAATCGCAAGTGGATCTCA